AGAATATGAGATTCAAGCAGCAAGTCCTTGTTTCAAGTATGAAGCAGAGATGCTGGAAGGAGTTCAACGACGAGGGACTAAGATGGTACAAGGTCTATCTAACCTATCTTATGAAGACAGACTGAGACATCTCAACTTATTACCGTTATCTTACCGTAGAGTACTGAGTGATCTAATATTGGCTTATCGTATACTGAACGATGACCTTGGTATTAACATGTCTTATCTTTTACTTCCGTCCAGGACTGATCACTTGAGAGGACATTTGAAGAAAGTTCAAAAACCTAGATGAAATCGTTTACGTCTGGAGTTTCGTTTCTCGCACCGAGTAGTGGATTACTGGAATTCTCTACCAGAACACGTAATATCAGCACCTTCCGTTGATATATTCAAAACGAGATTGTACCTTCACAGTGTCACAAACTTCAAGGATTAATATAAGTCGATAGACTTCCTATCCTGTTTACTGAAGACTGAGGACTGAACCATTTGTTTTTGAAGCGCGGTAATTGAAGGCTGCGTAGCCTCCATACAACTAATTGTCTATCAGCCTACTTGTGATGGCAGAGAGCTCGTCTTGGAGTTTTGATGAAGCTGATTTGTCTGCGTGTTTCGATGACACGATGAACGGCATCGGCGTAGGCGTCCGATCAATGTTTAATATGCGGTAAATTCTCTATTTTAGCATCTTTGAAGGAGAGTATTGTCAGGACCTGGGTAAATTAGGTTAAGAGTGCTACATATAAGTTTTCTTTTCTCAACTCATCAAGAATAATGCATCTTTATATCAATTTACTCATGTTCTCTGCAAAAAACCTGTCGGGACGTTTAAATGATTTTGCACAGAATAAAATAAGCTTTCGCTTAAAAGGCATCCGTATATAGTAACAGTGGGTCACCGATACCATCGGGTTGGAACCTAGGCATTTTAGTGATAAGTGAGAAAAACGTCGGTAAATTATAACGAAATGCTGTCCTTAGTCCCTAAGAATATGTCAAGTTCTCTGTTATAGGACTCATTGGAAGCCGCTTGCACTAGCTCAGAAGGCAGAGAATTCCAGCATCTGATTACTTTCAACGAGTAGAAGGTGTGCCTACGACCACTCTGCTATGTTGTACCACGAAATGCACTTTTAGGATGTGAATCTTACGGATCTTGAATCATCAAAGCATCATTCAAAACGAAGGAGGGGATCACAATGAATATTATCCAATGTTATGCACCTAGCAATGAAAGCATCGACGACATTAAAGATCAATTCTACGAGCGGCTGCAATCAATCATAGAGAAGTGGCCAAGAAATGTCCTCACCATTCTAATGGGAGATCTAAATGCCAAAGTCGGAATAGACAACACCGGATATGAAGATATTATGGGATGACATGGACTGGGACAGAGAAACAAAAATGGAGAAAGATTTTCAAATCTGTGTGCATTCAACAAATTGGTCATAGGATGCACAATATTTCCACTCAAACGTATACACAAACCTACCTGCATCTCACCGGACCACAACACAGAGAACCAAATCGATCATATTTGCATCAACAAAAAATTTCGAAGGACAATGGAAGATGTGAGAACCAGGAGAGGTGCTGACGTAGCTTCAGATCACCACCTAGTTGTAGCCAATTTAAAACTGAAGCTAAAGAAGAACTGGACAAACAGCACTACAAAGGTTTAATACAGCCTTCCTTCGAGATACTGACAAACTCAATGAATTGAAGATAGCTCTCAACAACAGGTTCCAAGCCTTACAGGATCTACTGAAGGAAGAAGAATCTACTATGGAGGACAACTGGAAAAGTATCAAAGAAGCATTAATTTCAACGTGTCAAGAGGTTCTGGGCCTAAAGAAACACCATCATAAGGAATGGATCTCTATTGAAACACTGGACAGGATCAAAGAAAGGAAGAACAAAAAGGCAGCAATTAAAAACAGCCGAACACGAGCAGAGAAAGTCCAAGCACAAGTTGAGTACACAGAAGCAAACAAGGAAGTGAAAAAGAGCATTAGAGTCGACAAGAAGTACGTGATAGAACTAGCAACGACGGTGGAAAAAGCTGCTAGAGAAGGAAATATGAAACAGCTTTACAATACAACGAAGAAACTAGCAGGGAAATACAGTAAACCAGAGAGACCGGTCAAAGACAAAGAAGGCAAGCTAACCACTGAAATTCAACAACAGTGGAACATATGGGTAGAATACTTCGAGGAACTCCTGCATAGGCCGGCTCCAATGAATCCACCGGAAATCTAAGCAGCACACACAGATCTTTTTATAGATGTCAATCCACCAACGACTGAAGAAATCAGAATGGCCATCAGCAAATCAAGAGCGGGAAAGCAGCAGGACCCGACAATATACCAGCTAAAGCACTGAAGTCAGACATCGAAGTAACTACAAGCATGCTTTACCTTCTGTTCAAAAGGATTTGGGAGGAGGAACAAGTGCTGATGGACCGGAAAGAAGGACACCTCATCAAGATTCCAAAGAAAGGAGACCTGAGCAAATGTAAAAACTACAGAGGCATTATACTACTGTCAATACCAGGGAAAGTCTTCAACAGAGTGTTGCTGAACCGGATGAAAGACGCAGTAGACACCCAACTTCGAGATCAACAAGCTGGATTCCGTAGGGATCGGTCGTGCACAGACCAAATTGCAACACTACGGATCATCGTCGAACAATCAGTTGAGTGGAACTCGTCACTTTACATCAACTTCATTGATTATGAAAAGGCATTTGACAGTGTGGATAGGAGGACGTTATGGAAACTTCTTCGACACTACGGAGTTCCTGAGAAGATTGTCAACATTATTTGGAACTCATATGATGGACTACAGTGCAAAGTCGTGCATGGAGGACAGCTGACAGATACATTCCAGGTAAAGACCGGAGTCAGGCAAGGCTGTTTACTCTCCCCCTTCCTCTTTCTTCTGGTGGTCGACTGGATTATGGAGACCTCGAAATCTGAGGGAAAACACGGAATACAATGGACAGCTCAGAACCAATTAGACGATTTTGACTTCGCAGATGACCAAGCCCTCCTATTGCATATACATGAACAAATGCAGATAAAGACAGCCAGTGTAACAGTAGTCTCTGCATCAGTAGGCCTCAACATAGACAAGGGGAAAACCAAGGTCCTCAAATTCAAAGCGGAGAACAGAAATCCAATCACTCTTGATGGCGAAACTCTGAAAGATGTAGAATCCTTCACATACCTGGGAAGCATCATCGATGAACAAGGAGGTTCAGATGCAGACGTAAAGGTGAGGATCGGCAAAGCAAGGGTCGCATTCCTACAATTGAAGAACATATGGAACTCAAAACAACTTTCAACCAATATCAAAGTGAAGATCTTCAATACGAACGTCAAGGCAGTTCTACTGTACGGAGCTGAAACTTGGAGAACTACTACAACCATCATCAAGAAGGTACAAGTATTTATAAATAGTTGTTTGCCCAAGATATTCAACACCCATTGGCCGGATACCATCAGCAACAGCGTTCTGTGCGAGAGAACAAACCAGCTTCTGATTGAAGAGGAAATTAGTAAAAGACGATAGAAATGGATAGGACATATATTACGCAAATCATCAAACTGCATCACGAGGCAAGCTCTAACTTGGAATCCTGAAGGTAAGCGAAGAAGAGGGGGGTCAAAGAACACATTACGTCGTGAAATAGAACCAGATATGAAAAGGATGAACAACAACTAGAAGTAGCTGAAAGGGATTGGCCAGGACAGGGTTGGATGGAGAATTCTGGTGGTTGGCCTATGCTCCTTCACGAGGAGTGACGGGCGTAAGTAAGTATCATTAATTATGCCTAGGTTCAAACCTGGTGGTATCGGTGATCCACTGTTACTATATACGGAAGCTTATTAGGCGAAGGCTTCCATGATTTCCAGTGGCTTTTGGTCGATTTGAAGATCTTAGAAAAATTTAGGATGAATTTTCGGAAGCTTTAATTTCTACATATTTTTTCTCAATTACAATACTCGCTGCTTTTCAAAGCCAAATTTTACTAATGTGTTGAAATATCTTTTGCGTTTTGGGTACTGCTTACCTCGATTATTACTAAGTTTCGTGGTGCTGCTAAAAGCCGAACTAATTGGTATATCAGTTTATGTCATTTAAGACTGCATCCTTCTTGGTTAGTGATGACCACTATCTTTTTCTACTGTGTAACTTGTTTGGTAGTCATTTATTTGTCGCTATTTTTTTTTGAAGAGAGGATATAAGTGTCTGGGACCGCTCTCAATGGTTATGGGTTGCTTGTAGCGATGAAAAATGTATCACGTGGTAGTTTATCTCATAGTTTTATTTATAGAACCTTTTTAGCTCTTGACATTAAATGTATCATGATAGTGTTCGTTGGCTATTAATGTGTTATTTATGAGTGCTATGTACGCTTTCTGAAATCTACGTTAGCGTTCCGTAATTTATTCTAATATCTTTATGCAGAAAACTGGACGGTTTGCGTGCAAAAATCGAGTATTATACGGTGAAACAATAGTAATCACCCATACAGTCACTTCTAATATTGCACATCTTACAGTGGAAACACTACATATTGTTGTGAAAGGCTCTCACCACCATGAGGTGTCGCTAATTGATACATGGTAATATACGATAAATGAGGCTTATTTAACTACGAATCGTGTGTGATCGTTGCTGTTTCAATAATTATGAGTTCCTTAAGTCATTGGAAATCAATCGATTTTAAAGAGGTTATAATAGCTGGTGGGCGAGTACTTGAAAATTGCTTCAACTTGTCTTAAAAATTTCCTGGCATTAAGTAAACTATGTTATTAGCGAAGTGGAAAACAGCTGTCAGATTTTCATTAATTGAATTCTTTTGTAGGTTCTCCATAGCTAATTGTAATACATATTTTCAAAGAAAAGCATGTGCTGTTATTATGTTTATGTAGCGCTGGTTCATTGGTTAAAGATTCTGGATTTTGATTATTAGGTGTCAAGTTCATAATCCTGTCCACCTACGTCTGTTCTGCCAGCTGGATAGTACCGCTAGTTACACAAGTAAGGTAGCTTAAAGTAGTTTATAACTAAGTACCCTGCATGTGAACTTAATCAGGCTTCAGTAGTTCTATTAATTCAAGATGCATAGACTACTGTTCTTTCGCTTAATTGGAAAATTAATATTTCAATCAACTAGGAGTGGGACTGACAAGGTGCTATAATATTCTTTTTATTTTCATTTTTACTTGAACTATTTTATGTAGTGACGCTCTGTCAGCTTTACCACTCTGTAATGATGAAAGTAAGCTTTCTGATGATTCAAACCATGAAGGTTTATCAAATTTCTCTATGTTGTCTAGTAATTCGGCGCAGACTGTGTAAGTTTTAGTTCTCATATTATTCGTTTTATTTCTATCATGTCATTTGGTATAATTTATTTCTAAGACATTTTCGGTATCATTTTAAATAATAAATATGTACGTTCCTAACAAGTTTGTACATAGGATTGATAAGCATAAGCATTCCAAAAAGTATCTAGGTGATGATAAGTTGCAGTGAGTCTATGGTATTTAGTTAGCCTCTGATAGTGACGACGAACTCTTTTGATTAGCATATTGGTACTTTGAAATTACAAGGGAGGGTTTTGGTATTCAGTCCTCTTATTTTAGTATTTTTTTGGCATGTATACACTTGTTATTACAAATAAGTCAGCAGTCAACAAATTAAGGTGAAGCACCCATTAGCAACGGATAAAATCAATAATATTTCTCCATAGTTTACCAACTCAATCAAAATTTCATCGTTCACTATTCGTATGCGAAAGAATGCAACATGACAATACGTGACCTGTGTAGCTCATCACATCTACTTGATATTATCAGTTTAACATATCGAAGGTTTAAGAATTTATGGGCCAAAAAGATATCAAGTTTAAATCCAATATTTCAGTAGTAGAATAATAAGTAAATATGACAACTTTCTATTTAAGAGTCCATCGAAATTTACTTTAATGAAAATCCTGACTACTATTTGAAAACTGGGTCAAATAATTTAAGAGAGCCGTGATGTGATTTTTTCATAATCAAAAAGGTTGATTTCAGTTTTTTTATTTCGTTGGATTAAATTCATATCTTCTTCAAAGTAATCAATGCGTATTTTATTTCATTGCCTTGCTTTTTGAATATGTTTTGTTCTTTAAGGTGGACGGTTTAATCGTGAAGCTTTCATTGTCCTTCTCGATGACATCATCAGAGTTGAAAAGAGTTCCAAAAAAAACACTAAAAGCGTCACAATTAAACCATCCAGCTAAGAGGATGAAACACCTTCAAAATCCTCACCTTGAGCCACAAATTCTCTTCACAATTGCTTCGCATACATGGTATGTATGTGTAATATAATTAGACTAAACGAAACGAAGTATAACGTAGCAGATTACTGGATTATTCTGAGTTGCCAGAATTCTTATCAACAGAGTAGAATAAAACTAGTAAAAATTTCAAACCAAGGTAGGGAAAAGTTAACCAAGTATTCTATGTTTCAAGTGAATGTTCAATATCCTCTTATGTAACTTTCTACAACTTCTGGTCTGAACCATGTTATTAGATGCAGACTACTTGGTTGGGGTCCTCACGATTATCGTAATCAGCAGTTAAAGACTGTGAGTGACATGACTCAGAATCGATTACAATGATGTAGGTGTATACGCTCTTTGTCTTCCCTTAAACCGTGAGATTAAAATTACTTTATACCTTTCTTTGAACCAATTCTTTCTCCCCGCATTATATCTCTATATTTAATGTTTATTTATAAATATTACTACAATTGAAGTAACTGCATCGATGAATTTGATGTTCATCTCGTTATGGTAATGAGGTGTGACAACTTGAACCGATGCATACATGTGCTTGGTCCTACGTTGTAGCTGACTGACTATGAAACCCTCAATTTATTTGATATTGTGTGGCCGTCCTAAAAGTGCTCCTTTCTCTGTTTCGTTTGTTCATTACTAAGTACTAACAATTCATGTTATAACCGAATGACTTTTAGACTGTTTTAATTTTCATTTTATTCGATTTTTGACTTGGTTATGCTATCGAAATTAACCTTAATTTGCATAGCGAGTTTAAATGTGCAATTAGTTTTTGAAGTTTGCCTGTTTAATAATATGTTTCTTTAATATTTCCGTTTAGTGATAATACTTTTATTTCAATGGCTGATACAAACTCTCATTTGTTTGACAACATTTTGAAAGCTCCAACATCATCGGCTACACGATTAGGTGAAGCGTCTTTAACTTACTTAAATCAAGGTAAATATTATCATTTATATTGGTCTTCGTTCTATTGTGTTGATTCAGTTAATTTCTGTATTATTGGATATGTATATTATTTGCCATATATACTTGTTTCCAATCATTTCCTCTTCTGTAAAAATAATTCTCATTCCTTTCACATGGTTCCACTCTTTGAACAAATCATATTGTTTCTATTGTGAAAGTACAGTGCGGAATAATTGGAATACTGTTGTAAAAATGGAGACACTTTCTACATTGCTTCTAGCAAAATGTTAAGTAGTTTCACAATTCGCAGATAAATGTGGTCTTAGAACAGCTATAAAACACCCGTAAAATATTTTTAAAGTTTCCTGTTGTGTATGTTGTATGATGCTGATTGAGGAAGTAACTATGAATTTTGTGTATTATATTCAAAAAATTATACTACAGTGTAAAACATTTGTGTCAATAGTTTACGCTTATAATTGTTTGGTAAAGTTATGCTGTAATTCAATCAGTGATTAACAGTGTGAAACCTAGAAAAAGTAGTTATCATTTCTAGTTGTCACAATTTGTAGCCATCACACTTAAAGTGTGACTCAAAACCACATACATAGAAATATCTAGATGATGAATAAGTTATAATAATTTTGTATCCGAAGTAGATAAAACTTTGGGCAAATTCCGGGAACTATTCATAGATTTCATATAGTGAGGGCTGAGATTGCGTTTTCGATTCAACGGGTAGGGTTAGATGAGAAGGACCAATAAGGACTCGAAGTTGATTCTAGGCTGCTCGTGCTGGTTATCGCATCATTGGTTTGACACAGTAACAAGGTCATCTAAGTCGATATTCTGATGAGCGATCTTATCACGTGATAATTGACAGGGAAAAAGTCATAGCAAATCTCGTCAGAGAGTTTTTCACTGTTGACTTCCTTGATTCAACCGATCACAGATTTTTCACCAGAACTTTTAGTAGCTTCATTTCAAAGATAATCGGTCACTGAAGAATATGGCACAACTATTATTTATGCAGCTGATTCGTGGACGTCTCCATAATTTGAAGATAATTCTCATCATGAACTATCATTAGATAATAAATATTTAACAGTGATAAGTGAATAACCTTGGCTACACTAATTGACGTGATACACGTTAAAATGCCTAATTCAAAGCATATATATATATATATATATATATATATATATATATATATATATATAACTTATTCTTTTGATAGTGTTAAGTTCTCCGAGCTGGACAGTTTAGTTGTAGAGCTTTCATTGTCATTCTAGACATTTTAGACACCTACTTCATTTAAACCATCTAACTCTGAGAATTAAACACTACTAAAGCATCCTCTTGAACTAAAACTTTTCTTCATCACTTTATAGTCTATTCTGTCAGGCTTATCCCATACTTATATTCTTATAATTATTTACAGGACAAACGTATGAGCTTAAATTGAACTCGAAAACACCAGAGATAAAATTTATCAAGGTAATTCGTAGTAATATATATATGTATATATATATATATATATATATATATGCAGTGGAAATTCGTATATTTCATATCGTTTTAAAACTTCACTTCATGTTCGTCATTGGTTGCTATAGTTTATATTTTTTTCTGTTGTTGACATTTTTGGACTAAATTCAATCAATTCACGTCTACACATAATCGCTTGAAGTGGAAACCTCGATGTCATCTGTCTCAACAAATTGATTAAATGTTTAGATAGTAATTGTCAGTGCGTTTCATTTCATTCACTGAGATCAAGGCTATGACATCTAGCACAATGTCACGCCTACATGGATTAGTCTTGATTTTAGATAGACCAATCAATTTATTCTTTTTGAGTCAGTATCCACACTTATTTTGACCTTATCAGTTGTTCGCTTATAACTTTATTTGAGTGTATATGTGTGTATCGATGATTCTATTTTTCATCTGTTTTTAGCTTTTTCTACCTGACCATAAACAGCCACGCTTTGTCTAATTGAGTTAGTACGCTTACTTTTGCTTCGCTTTCGTATTTTTCGTCTTGGTGTATATCCGAATAGACAAATGACTGAAACAGATTCTTCCAACTTAATTATTATTTGGCTTTTTATTACCACTGTCACCCAAACGGGGTTAGCCTATGTACAATATTCGAAATCGAACGGAGAATTTATATTCATGGTTCATCAATTAATTTGTTCATAATGGAATCATATTGCGAGCTTGGAGAGCAACTAGACATGGCATTACTACAATCCACTTATATATTTGTTGTGAATTGAAATAGGATGGTTGAGAGCGATTATTCTAATACTCAGTGGGATCTGTGTTAATTGGATAGACGGGACAAATAATACACAACACGGTAAAGGCATATTATACTGACGATCTTGGGAAATTTATAAGCTAATCAGGAAAGGCTGCATAATTCTGAAACAGTTAACAATAAAAAGCAATAGAATAACAGTTTCTTGACTTAGTATTCATAAATACGGTGCTTTTTCATGTGAAATTCCCATTTAATTGTGAACTATTTTTACTAGCTCACTGCGAAGATTTCTGTCTTTTTGTTTCCATCAATGAATTTTTGATATTTGATTGTAATTATATTGACATGGATCAAAATCTTTTGCAATGGCGCAGGTGAATCCACTCTTTGTGTCCTCTCAAATTCTAATCTCCGGAATCCTCCTTGTCTCTTTTTTCTCTTTCCAAATTTATTTAACTGGATTATACTCTTTGAATAACCTCTTAAAACCCTAATCTTTCCGATTACTGCTTATACTCTTACCGCCTCTACCACTACGGGATTTGAATGGACAACTGCATCTCTGTGCTAATGTGGTATGGCAACTCGAACTGATGTACGTGCGTACGAAGTTCTACGTTGTTACTGATTGACTGACTGACTGACTTAGTTTTCAAGCCTTTACGACGTTGCTTATATCAGTTTATTTCTTTTACATCTATACGTCTCTATCTTCAATCTGAGCCTATTATTGTCCTCATTTTTTCTTTGTAGACATGGATTCGAGTTACTTTCTATGATAAACGGATGGAATTAAATGAACACGAGCTTTGGGATAACTGGCATCAAACACACCCTGGTGAAAACCTTCTAGACGTAGGTGAGCGTAATGATATTTCAGATTTCTACTTAAAGTTGTAGAATGTTTATGTTTTATTCGCATATTGATTGCCTTTAAATCTTCTTTAAGGTGTAATTCCCATCTATTCTTTTTCTAAACATATGTGTTCGCAAGCTATTAATCAAATAAATATAACTGTTATGCGCTAGACGATAAGTTCGATGTAAGGGATATTTATTCCGGATTATACAGCCGATCGCCATCAAATATTTCAAGTGGTCCATACAAAAGTAGAGCTGTAATTTCATTGTTTAAACATCGCACTTTCAACTTTCGGGCCACATATCAAACTGACTGTATCTACTTTGATTGATAGACAGAAACATAGTTAATGTATAGCCGGGCAAAGTTGGTTGTTGATCCAAGTCACCGTTCTTCACAATAACACAATATAAAGAAGTTAATATGATGAAGAGCAAATGAATAAATATACCAATGGTTGTGTCTCGAGTAACAGAACGACAATGCCTGATAGCACAAAGGCGATGGCTACATTAGGTTTTAGTTGTAATCACGAATGATAAGTTATAATGTTCTAAGGACTTCACGTTTTCTAGCTTAAAACCAACTGATCGCCTAAATTACTGTCCACTATCTAAACTCCTCTTAAACATCTCTTAAAAGTTTGAACGTACACAGAATAATGTAATTAAACAGTAGTTATAGTTTTCATCATTCGATTTTGATGAACATATCTAAACTAGTCAATTTTTACGAGTCCACCAACTTGGATAAAATGGATTTATTAAACCCATTTACATGCATTTGCTTTGTTTCATATTATCTGCACATTACTCCATCTAGCAGTGGAGCTGAAAAACCAAAACGTAGCGTCAGTCATTCAAGTCATTCACTGTTGATTTGAACCATATCAAGAGGTATAGGTTTTTTAGCTTCGGTTTGTGAGACCTCAGTACATTTATTCTTTATCACCTATGTCTAAGTTTTTTTTCATTACAATGGATACTATTATCTCGATTAGCGCAAAAAGTCCTATGTGAGTTACGCCGCCTTCTGTGTTGAGTTGTAAGATAACCATATATATATATATATATACGCGACTTGGATAAATTAAAAATTAGTAAGTATAATTCCACTCATATTGTTGAGTAAATCCTTATTTTTCTTCAAAAAAACCCATTTTAAAGATTATAAAAGATCGAATGATTATGAAGAATTAGATAATGAAAATACTCCATCAGATGATATATTATGTGTATGGAAATATCCGAAATGTACTATTGGTTTACGATTTAATTGTGTCAGTACTGAATTCACTGCTAAGAAACATGGTGGTGAAAAAGGAATTCCTTTTCGATTTCGGGTAAGTTGGTTTTTATTAGTTTAGGGGGTTTATGCAGATAGTTGAATTTCTTTGTTTCATGTAAAAAATTGGTCGTAGACAGTCATTAGAAGCCTGGAAGCACAAGTCTGTTATTTCATTTCTGTATAGGATTCCTCGACCCCGCCAGGAATCAAATCTAGAACCTTCTCATCTCAAAGTGGGTGTTAATTTACAGACCATTGGATTAACACCCAATGATTCTAGCTTCAATCAATCCTTGGTATTGCGAGAGATGATTCTCAGAGATCTAGTGAGCTGTATTTTACCGGTAAAATTCAACCATGTCGGAACTGAGGCAGTGGTATGCCAATGACATTGGATGATATTTGAACAGTATTGCAAATTGATTAAGTTGGACCATTAAATTCAGGCTAGTTAGCTTAAAGTTTGAGGGTTTTCAATGAAACCTGGTCTTAGGTTCGACCTTCAATCGAGTTGTGAATACGTACTACTAAGGAGATCCCTTACTAGGACGATAAGATTGTACAATGATTCTTGACTTTCAGTAGTTGTTTAACAAAGGTGGGTTAGTGATTTGAACTATGAAATGTTAATTTTGTTTAATTTTTGCAATTTCATTTTCTAAAAACAATGTACATTATGAAGGTTTGAGGGTTTATATCAACCATCGACTTAATCACTTCCTAACTTGCATTCCAGCTTGTAAAGTTATTTAGCTTCACTAGCTCTCACCTAAACTACCTAATAGTCAGGTATATAAGTCTGTACTTAGTAAAAGTTTTATGTATCTCTTAACAATGTAATTTAAAAATAGCCGACATCAACGAACAACATAAGATTGTTTGTTTTTAGTATTTATGGTATTTAATTAAATTAGTTCATTACAATATTACAATATATTACAATATTCTCGTCGGGATATAACAGTGTATACACTCTTTGTCTTCCCTTAAACTGTGAGACTAAAATTACTTTATACTTTTCTTTGAACTAATTCTTTCCCCCTGTATTATATCTCTATATTTAATGTTTATTTATAAATATTACTACGACTGAAGTAACTGCATCGATGAATTTGATGTTCATCTCGTTATGGTAATGAGGTGTGACAACTTGAACCGATGCATACATGTGCTTGGTCCTACGTTGTAGCTGATTGACTGACTATCTAACCGTTTGTTTTAATAGTTTAATTCGGGATTATTTTTACAAAAAATCTTTAGGTAGAACATTTTGAATATGATACTAATCAACATTTGGGATCATTCGCTTGTCAAATTAAAGTATTCAAAATGAAGGGAGCTGATCGTAAGCATAAAACGGATCGAGAAAGAATAGAGCGTAAATCTGGTGATGGTCAGGTAAATGCATTTTGAATATAATTTGTTACTTCTCGATTTTAACTTTCACCTTTTTTCCAAACGTTCATTAAATTAACGGATAGCATTAATATAGAATCATTGTAGAGATGGCAAACTCTTGTAAAACCTTTTGTTTGGGACTCATTAATGTACTTTGTTGGCCTATACGACCTACACGCTTCGTAATGTTCATGTTACTATCAACCCAGTCGATTGTTATCTGATAATAGTATTTTATGTTTCAGTTACACAATACCTGATGTAGCGCGAACACCACGTAGTGCGACTCTTGCTTGTTGAAGTTTCGAGATAACAGTCATTCGATTTTGTCGTACTATTATCAGTGACGACGTTTCCATCACTTGACCTGAAAGTTCCAAAGCGTTTATACTACTAATTATTTTCTTTTCTCTTTTTTTGTCAAAATAAACTGTAAAAAATCTGAAACTCGTATTATATACAACAAAGTTCATTATTTAAATGCCAGTCAATTATATTCGACGTTTAAACTAGAATAAATGTGCACCGAGTCAAATTACCATACATCAATACAGCAAAACGAAATCTTAAGGATAAATAAAAAAGCATTAGCAGTGGTACTAGTAATCCTATTCTAGTAATAATATGTTCACCAGTGACTAACCTCATGATGCAACCTCCCAGGTTCCAGTGAGAAGCCGTGACCAATGGAGTTCAACCACTTTGGATGTGAGACAGTTTTCCACCTCAGGCAATGGATGATGATTGCACAATATCGTGAATTGATTGAAGTTAGACATTAATACCATTAGATGTTGGGTCAGTGGTTTAGAGTTTGAGCATTTGAATGCGAGATCTAACGTCCTGGCTTCGGATCCTTGATGCGAGGTTATGAATGCCACTGTTGGAACGAAATGGTCGTCTAGTGCTTCCTATTTTTCTCTGGTGGTCTAGCTTAGTTCAGTTCGTGATTTAAAACTATGAAAATTCTACAGTGTCCACAAATTCTCCCATTTTAATAATCAGTTTCATCATTATTAATCAAAAAGTCTACATAGAGATTATGATTTAAGAGGAATGATTTAGTTCAGGGAATTATAAGCATAAAATAATTTTGAAACTCATGATCTTATAGTGAGTATAACTACTCCACTGCGACTAATTGTGAATCATCTCATTTTATTATCGTAAGTAATCAACATTATTTTATGTTATCTCCAGGCTATTTATAAACCATCAGTTCCTGTGACTAAATTATCATATTTACCTAGCAAGCAAGTTAAATTATTTCATAATCACCATCATAACCATGGTCATTATCAATCGATAACAGACAAGCAGTCGGCGATCGACGATACTTTTACAGAGCAATCGATAAAAGTGACAAATACACAAATTCTTACCACTTCCGCTACAATAGCCACGTCTGTTTGTAATAATTCATGCCAACAATTTAAAGTAGACATGAGTAGTTTGGATTTACAGAAGTAAGTTACAGTTTGACTGTCTGGTACTAAATGGTTTCATGGAAATCCTAATTTTCTTTTATATTCGAGTCATTGAAGCATTTTATTTACCGTCATTAATATCCTCCTCGATGATAAAAAAAGCTGGCTTGAAATCTAGAAATTTACCGCTTCATCAGTTGTACCGGGTTTGTACACTTCACACTTCTCATTGATTTCCATATGGTTTCATTCGAAGAAGTAGTTGTCTCAAATATAATCTTGACTTATTCCATCCTACTATTTGTCTATTATCCTTAATGATTATATGAGGGTGATCATAGATTGGGGTATGGGTCAGTGGTTGAGAGGTTCGACTTTCAGCCAGCAAGTTCTCGATTCGAACCCCTATTGACCTATTTCGGTTTGGACAACCTGTTAATATTACTAGCCCTCATATTTAGAGTGTAGCTCAAATCCAAACATGCAAAGTTGAACCTAGTAAATGAGTTAATAATAATAAATAGGGTAAAAAGAAACTATTACCAGTTTTTCCAACTTTTAATACATATTAAAGTTTAATGAGCTAGTGAGATTAACTATAGCTATGCCTTAGAAATATTGCTGGCGTCTGCTGGGATCACCGGGTAAGTAATAGGGAGGTTAGACGCAGGGTATTAGGGAATGAGGGTAAATCAGTTGATGAGGTTATGAATCTTCATCGACTGAGATGGTTGGGCCACGTGTTACGTATGCCTGAACACCGATTACCACGACGTGCAATGCTAGCCGGTGTAGGGGATGGTTGGAAGAAAGTTAGGGGCGGCCAAACCAAAACGTGGCATCAGTGCTTGAAGTCACTAACTTGTAGTCTGAGCCATGTTGGTAGATGCAGACTACTTGGTTGGGGTCCGCGTGATTATCGTAACTAATGGTTGGAGACTGTGGGTGACGTATCTCAGAATCGGTCACAATGGCGTCGGTGTATACACTCCCTGTCTTCCCTTAAACTAAGAGATTAAAATCGCTTCATATCCTTTCTACGAACCAATTCTTTCTTCTTGTATTATATCTCTATATGCAATCTTTCTCTTATATATTACCACCTTTGACATAACCACTGCTATGAATCCGGTGTTCATCTTGTTGTGCTGATGCGGTATGGCAACCTGGACCGATGCACATATGTGCCTGGTCCTACGTTGTAGCTGACTGACTGATAGCTACGCACTTGACTTTCAGTCACAATTCCTATGTGAGGATTAGTGAAATAACTAAGTTCTAAGGATACAAATGAAATATTTCATCATCTAGTACAATCCCCATGTTGACTATTGTTAATGGTGTTTCATGTTGCATGAATTTTAGATCGAATCGAAATAACTAATTTGTCAAGTTCCAAATTCAGAAATCTCAGTTACATTTCGATAACTTGCTTCGCATGTGGCTTTAGCTGAATCCATATCAACGAAATAATGAGTGTACTGTGCAGCATTCCGTTCCATATTACTCTATTGCTGTGAAGTATAGTCTATTAAAGTAGAAGAGATGTTCATGCTGCAGGTTGTCCACTGTAGGTATCTTTGAAATATTGCTTGCTTTTCACGGAATGACCACTATGTATTTGACTGATAAGTTTTTTCGGGTGTGTATGGAGACTGGCAGTCCATCAAATTACTTAAGATTTGCATATCGTATTCCAATTATTTTTTCATTGGTTGTATTCATAGTTTAGCACGAGTGGAGAAAGCGGTGATGAAGGATAATTTTACACTAGAGGATTTAAATGATACAAGTAACAATTTTGTAATACCTAACCCAATCGAATCACCTAGTGCTTCCAATCGGTCATTTTCGGAATTTGTTATACCTACTTACCCAATTCATCGTTCGGCATATTCAGCGTTAAGAAATGTATCTCCGGGTATATCACCTTCTCCATCTTCTAATAAGCGTTTTAATTATACTATACAGCCATGTCTTCAACGGCGTAGACGTCTTCGAGCAGGAGACTGTTGTGCAGGGACTTGTTCATCATGTGGACGCAGTTGTCGAAGTGCTTCCCGATGGATACGAAGTAATAAAAATAGAATGATGTGCACAAACTGGGACAATTCAACAAATCGTGCCAAACAAGCCTCAGTGATTTCAGAGAGAAGGAGAGCTGCACAAAGTTATGAAAGCGGTTCCCATTTGACTGAACTCCCAAAGGTAATTATCCCTTATAGCGTGAGAATGATAAGTAATTTAGTGAAAGCAGATTATATACTACTATAAATTGACCCATAAAAATGTCAATTGTGTTAATGCTTTGTGTTTCTCACCACTGATATCTGCCGTTTTGTACCTTTTAACAACAGCGTATTGAATGATCTTACGTGATTTGTTAGCAATACAGATTTTCATTACTCTTGGGTTTGTTCTCCTGATTGTATCAACTTTCCTAAAGTCTCTCACAATCTTATATATTCTTTACAAAACTTCTAATTTCTATTGTGACGGCTCGCGGAAAGTGTGATGAAGCCTTCAGAGGCTTTAAAGAGGCCATAGAGATCCCATTCAATTAATATCCGATAGAATCTTCTAGAATATCGACGTAAGATGCTGCAATTAAACTCCATGGATTATGACGATATTACAGCATATACCAACCACTATAAATACAGATGTTTTTCTGTACATTTCTGATATTTACTGTAGCAAACGCTTTTCCTGTTTTATTTTGCATTTTGATTCGCGACTTGGAGAAGGATGTACACGTTTAAGCACCGAAGTTGCATGTCATATTAGTCGTAGTCAAGTAGCAAACATAACAGTTTCATATCAAGTATTAAATTTCTCTTTGTTAACTGTCTTTTAACTTGTAATCTATTTAAAAATTTCCTTCCAGATACCGTATAGTTGAATTTTAATTGTTATTTCTTTGTATGTTTGTGTCTCTATGTATTGTTTAGTCCAAATCGATTCAAATGAATATTCCTTCGCATCAGTCAAATTCCATAAATAATAACCATCATTCAGGAGTATATGAATTGAGTACATCAGGCGAATAATCTAGTCTAGGGAATAATGATAAATTAAATAAATATACTATATTAGATAAATATGATGATCAAAATCCAAACCATCATCTATCATCCTACCTGATTATCCTCTTAATTCAGTAGTAATAGCACAATCGGATGAGGATCCTTTATTAAGTATGTCCAGTGCAACTCCAGCAAGTCGTGATATGGGTTATTGTAGTGATCTGTTAGTATCGTCACCTTCCAGACCTACTGTCGAAGACAGAGTCATAGAACAAATTGAATATTGTACAGAGAACAATAGTAATAATAATAATGTTCACCATAATAATGATGACGACTATACAGATTTGTTGAAATTTGAAGATTTATGTATGGATAAATTAAACTCTGTAGTTCATCAAGCTACATCATGTGATTCAATAGTTTCTTTGTCGAATAAACCGGAAATTGAAATTCCTTCTTTATCATCATCATCATTGTCGTCAACATCATCATCAATATCCGTCTTTCCATCGTCTATAAATACTTCTGTTGCTACTGTTAAACCCACTACTATTACTACCTCAAATATATCATCTGTAGTACATTGTGAAATGACAGCATCACAGGTTGCAGATTGGCTTTGTCAATCAAATTTTGAAAATCTTCTTGAAACGTTTAAGAATTTCACAGGTAATATTATTTAACATTATTTTTTTAATCTTTAAATGTTTGTATTGTTGTCGTTAATGTTAGTTGTTTTTTTAATGTTTCGAAAACGAATGTATTTACGTTGTAGTTGTTGTGTTGCAACTACACCACTGGAACTAAATTTCAAATTGATTAAATTTAAGAGTATCTGATTAATGTATGTTAGTAGATGCATAGTACTTGGTTAGGACCTACGCGATAACTGGGGTTAATTTTTGGAGAGTTTGGGTGGTATGCCTCAAAATTATTCACAACGATTCAAATACATTCGTCTTTTATTTTCCTATCGATCTTTAACCCTCGTTTTTCTACTTACACTTACCGTTCTACTCCATCGTTTTTAAAAATATTCTCACTTTTCAGTCTTTCTCAAAATCATTTTATCACATTATTTCGATCTTTTTTGATATTCTTCTTGTTAATTCCAACTCGCGTGGTATGAAAACTCAGACCAACACACATTGGTTCCGGGCTGTACGTTGATGACTGACTCACTAGCTAAGTGTTATCACTTTAAATTGAAACAGTTTTGTTATGCATCTTTATTATAAAGAGCCTAGGTGGCATGCATGACAGTCAGCATCTTAGAATAAATCTGCTACCAGTTGTGTCTAAAATATTGGCTACCATCATACCGTTCAGATCTTCCGATATTCATAAAAACATTAAATCTCCTCGATTCGCTCAATTTTCGTTCAACAATGAATCCATTAGTCCCATGTTCACCCTTTATCAAATGACTGAATAGGTTTACAAGTTTTTCAGACTAACAATCGGGGATGGTTCTCTGAGATTGCCTGTTGAAAAAATTTTTGGCGTCGTGCTGTTCTTGTGAAGATTTTGTGGAATACAGTTACGTCTCTTTATTATTGCAAGGCAACATTGGGATTAGATAATGTTATTCATTAAGGGAATTCTTTTAATTTATGTTCTACGATATTCTGAAAACAGATCTAAATGAATGTGTTACTTGAAGATGATATTTTCAACCTCCAATATCACTAATCAAGTATTTCATAGGTCTATAGACATATTTCCTTCCTAAACGATAATACATTTATTTATGATTAGTAAACTGACTACGTGTTACAGATAAAGAATATAAAGCGATAACTTTAACAACTGTTATACCGCGTACAATAGCCCTAAGCGCTTCTACTCCCCATCTGCTTCAAAATACAAATCATATTAAGAGGATATATTAGATGAGGTCAAAGAAGACTAGATTTAAATCCACGCTAATTCAGTTACCAACTAAATGATTATTAGTTTTAGAGTTTTATTAACTGCGTTATTGTCACTCAATACAAAATTATGGTGGAATAATCAATGCACGTAAAAACGCATTGAAGAGAAAGTAACTGAATACAATGGAGTTACATCGGAAGTTAACCAAAATAAATCGCGACAACGGGTTGAATTTGACTTGGCAAACATCCCCCTTAAATTGGTTTGAGGATATGATATTCCCAATATTACGTCACTAATGTTGTAGTGGATGACAACTCAGTTGGAGAAAAGTAATTTATTGTTAAATGAGAAATTACAATGTCTTCGTAAAATATGAAGATCATATACTTCATTTGTACATCTTCTATCAGCTGTCTCGTATGTCTGTCAACATAAGTAGTAGACATCACAATGTGGGCAAATTAATTACGTTGAAGGCTTGTAATCGAAAAATGATAATCTAGAATTAATAATGAATTCATTTGTTTCATACACATAGTTCCGTTTATCATTTTGAAAAGAGCAAGAACAAATATTCTAGCAGAATAGCATGAATTCATTTTTATTTCGTTGGTTATTGTCAGCTACTTACAACCTGTGATATTTAGAAATCATAATTACATAATGGGTTTAAATGACATACATGAAAGAGTTTGATCGGAAGTTATGTTGAAGACATATTCGTATAGTATAGCAAGAATGTAAATAAATTGAATAGACTGAATATTGTAAATATACATACCTTATGTGATAAAAGAACATTGTGACAAACAGTTCAAACGGCTAGAAACAAGTAAACATTGATAGGAATAAAATGAGTAGAATTCAGTTGATAAAATAAGATTATTAATTTGGAAGATAGTTGAAATAAAACTCAATGAAGTAATAAATGTGAGTAAGAGTTTAAAGAAAAAGAAAAAAAACATATTGAGGTACAGCGGAGGAATATTAGTCACCAAGGCAAGGAAAGTTGAATAACCATCTCCTTTTGAACACATAAATCAGTTTCTGATGTCGGAGAACAACAGCTTCAGCAAACTTCAGAAGACTGGAGTTTGGCTGCTTACTAATCACTTTAAATGATTGTAGGGTATCGACCTGATATCCTGTATCAAGGAGATGTTTGGTGATCGCACTGTTTAGAGTCTTTCTCTTGTTCTGAGGCTATTTGGAACATGTTCAAAAAATCTGAGATATGCCCTCCTTTCTGTTCGACCAATGTAGCTGCTTTGGCAGGTACACGTAAATTTATAAATACAATTGGCGGTAACATGAAAAGGATGCTTACCAACCTTTGATTGAGTTATTGAACATGTTGTTTTATACAGAATTAGAAGTTTGGCCGCCGGATAAGTTCTGGCTAGCTCAGTATTCAGTCTCCTGTTGATTGTGTTTGCAACATCATCACCTTTGAAGTTGAGATTTATAGTAATTGGTTTTTTATTGACCGTAATTACTTCAGTATTGTTTTCTTTACGTTTTTTATATTTGTCAATAAACTTTTGTGGGTAAAAGTTGTCTCGTAGGCATTTTTCCACGTTTATCAATTCTTCTTCCAGTTTTTCTGTGGTACATATCCTTTCTGCCCTATAAAATAGTGTTTTAACTAATGCCTTCTTGTAACTGAGTGGACAAAAAATATGATGGTCTTTTCTGGACTATGACTATCTAACTATTGAAATTCAAATCTGAAACAATTCTTATTCAGCTCTGTATTTTTGCATTGAATTTCTAAGATTTTCTCAAATGTTTCCCTTCGGTTTTTTCTTTCTTTGATTTGAGACAGATGCGATTTTTTTTCAATTTTGTGTTTTCTTCCCCTATGAGTTTGCTTCCAGTTCCGTTGTTGTTACATATTATAACTTATTTATATTTTTCTTTTCAATTATCTCATTAGGTTGTGATATACTTCGTCTAGCTAAAGAAGATTTATTGTCTATTTGTGGATCATTAGAAGGCTTACGATTATATAACTCACTTTATAACAAGTAATTTGATTTGATATTCTTTTACATGATAAAACAGTTTTAATCGATTATTGATTGAAGAAGTTGAAAATATAACTCATAACCCAATTCAGTAGTCTAGTAACTAATTGCTCTATGCAAGGTTATAGATTCGATCCCTAAAAGTGTCATTAATTCATAATTCGGAGTAGTATCATACTAAAACGAAACAATAGTTCAAATCTCGCTTGTACACAATTATATCTTGATTGAGGTCAATCTATGGTGAATACGATTTACATATTGATCATTGCTTCAGGGTGATTTTGTGGGTATTAGTTTAGTTTGTAAATTGTTGTAATCTTAAGTTGAGATCACCTAAGAAGCGCAGGGTGTATTTGACATGTGTTTCGTCCTAGTTCTGTAACTCGTCATTAGTCCTCATCTGACATTTTACATAGGCTACTTCATGTTATTGATTGAGATCATAAACCGACTGATGTTAGACCACCTTTAGAAACCTGGTCTCACATCAATCGGTTCATGATCTCAATCAAAAACTTAATAATCTCCACAACCCCTATACTAGTACTTCATGTTATGTCTCTTCATTATCATTTATGGCCATATGCTGGTTAGAAGAAAACACAAATATGCGATCAAATATTTAATCACCATCCTACATGTTTTGAAGTTCTACTGTGTCCTAGATCCCCTTTCAATTTTCAGTCGTTGTTCCGTACATAAAAAATGGACCGGATTAGTATAAACATTTCAGAATGCAGATGTGGGTGACGTGGGTTCGAGCTCACTAGGGGATATTAGTACCCTAGAGATTGCACGTAGTCCTTGCCAGCAGGTGCCAAACAGGGTTTCTTGGCGACCACGTCCAATCACCTAACTTCTCAACATAGTCCAGATGATGTCGAAACACTTAGACTAATAACCACAGTGAAACTTAACCGATAAAGTTCGATTAACGGCACTAAAATACTAGATAAACATGATATTAATCAACATTTCATGATCAATCAATTATAAAAAACTTTTCAGTTGACCAATCTATCTCAATTAAGCCAACTGTTAAATGAAGAAAGCGTAACCATCCATAGTGAGTTGATGAAGATTTGTAACTCGTTATGTGGATGTTGACTAGTAAAGTTGAGTTCTCTGAGCTGAATAGTTTAATTGCTAAGCTTTTTATCGTTTTGGACATCATTAGCACGCATTTCAATTGTTGTACAAATGCCTCATCCAGTCTGTTCTGATAACCCTGCTTCCAACTAGTTCACGAATTATTTTCCCTTTATACGATTGTTCGTTCCAGTGTTGGCTGTTTTGTTCAAGTTGCAAAAATGATAGGTCAGCATTCTAGCAATTTATTTAGATCTTATTACGATATATGCAACGTTGAGCTCATGATGTTCTTACCACGTTTATGACATCAACTTTTACTTATGTAAATCGACTTGGTGATTGGTTTAACTTGATTCCTATTGATCTTATGCAATTGAAGCCGTCTAATAACGGAAAGTTACATTAATGACATTTTAATATTTTCATTTTATTGTATTTATTTTGAATTGGAAACTATTTAAGTAGTATACTGAATATAGATGTTTTATTATGATGTTTCTTAACAATTATCAATCACATGTTTTTCGGGTATTATTTATTCTGTTTTCTTTTTTTTTAAGACCTACAGTGCCAAGATGTACACTATATGTATGCTTGAAAGGAGAAACAAGTATGTTGTAATGAGGGGTTATGTTTTACCTATCCTTCTTTTAGGTATTAATATTTATTTAAATTGAATATCATAATAAGCTAGTCTGATTAGAAATATCCTGGTAACTAAAATCAATCTGTCATAAAAGTGTGCTATGTAGTTTTGTCCACTTAATCATAATCTTGCTATTCCATGTACTCACTGCTTCTACTATTTTTACTACTACTACTACTACTGACCTATTAATGTAATGTACATTAGTAATTATGTAATTGAAATTTGACTTTCACTGAGATGGAATATTGGGTTTAGTATTAGAAATAACATTTGAATAATCGTTGTTAAGACTCTCTCTTGATTTCTATATTTAAGACTTATCACATCTCGCTACACTCTGGGGACATTTTTGCGGTGTCTAGTCATTGAGTTTGGTGATTTGAGGAATTTCAATGTCTTAGCTAAAGTTAGTTTACTGATTTAAATGACTGATTGAACATTTCAATGCACTCTGCCTTGTCGAGTTTTTCTTAAACTCCTCAATTCTAACTGCAAACAATTTACTCATATTGCGTAATTGTCTTACTCTACTTATGGTCATACTCCGGAAACCATGGTTTTAGGAATCCGTAAAGTCAGGGACTACTTTTAAGCACAACTAACTCTTTTGCTAGGATTGAAATTTTGTAAAGATTATTTAATTGTACTACCTTATACACTGGAGTACTTCTATCAAAATAATTATTTTATCATCATATTCATTCCCACTTTCCCGACCATAAGACATGTACTACGTATGCTTATCCTCTGACTACCTTGATGCACGATGGTTGCTAGTGTAGGAGTAGGCTGAAAAAAGCTAGGGGCGACCAAACCAAAATATGACATCAGTCCATGAAACCACTGACAATTGGACTGACCCATATTAATTGATCTAGACTACCTGGTTGGGGTCTGCGCGATTATCGTAACCAATCGTTAAAGACTTTGGGCGACCATAGCTTAAAGTCGTTCGCAATGACAGAGGCGCACTCACTCTTTGTCTTTTCTTGAATCTAAGTTTCTGGATTCCTTTTAAATATTTTTTACTATTGCACTAATTCTTATTTTCTCGAACAGTATCATTGATGCCTAACCTTTTTTTATTACAACTGGTACTGTTAACTACCTCGATTACTCTGGAATTTTCCCTGATATTTTCATCTCATTTTGCTGATGGGGTGTAGCAACTTGAATCGATGTACATGTATACCAGGTCCTACGTTGCTTATATGAAAACTGACTGATTAACTCATCCCTACTTATTTGTTTGTGTTTTGTTTACATAATTTTAGTCTATCATGCAATTATGCTCTATGAAATGAAGGTTCATGAATTACGTAGTCGAATGGCTTTTATATTATCTTGTCGTCAAGAATGCATCAAAATTATATGCCTTGTCACAGAAAATGATATTCCTGTCCTATTAACTGATGAGGTTGGTTACCTATGTTTTTCTGTTTATGTTACTGATTTTTTTCCACTAACTACAAATGAATGTGGGATTGTAGATTGTAGCAATGACATTAATAAACTGAATATTAGTTGAATTGAAATCGTAGTAATATCAATGATAGATTGGATGGATATTGACGAACGGAAATAGAAAAGAACGGATTAATTCGACTGAGATATTAACTAGAATTTATAACTTGACATAATCCCATGCAACCTGTCTAAGTCGGCAACCGTTCAAATTCATGGGGAAAGACTAGAATCCTATTGTGATAATCATAGATAAATCAGTTTGACCAATTGATGTTCGTATAGTGGAGGTAAGATGTAATTTAACAATGAATATGAACAAACATACCCAGCCTACTGACGATTTAATATGCGATCTCCTACCAATCATTGGTTTCTGAGTATAGATTGTTTGTAATTGTGTTGAATAAAATATTGTCTAGCCTGTACTCTGATCATCTATTTTTGATCGTAAATCATCTATTTGGTATAGCGTTATCCAGTCTGTGTATATAACATATCAGTTGAGTATTCAGTTTAGCGGTAGTGTATCATTTTACCACGACGTCACGTTTTTTTTTCTGAAACAGTCTTTTCAAAATAGCTAACATTTTATTATCTGTTCCCTTGATAAGTTGCAATAGTTGTCTTGTGTTACCTATTAACACTTCATTTTTCATCTCTTTAGCTTTCGTTGAGTTATGGTAATAATAATTCTGTTAAATCTAATATAAATATTTAGTCATTTCTTCATCATGTATGGTATGAATAGAATGAAAATTCGTCTTGGTATTAATTGTACATTGAAGTGAAATCATCATCAGTATTTGTCTACTTGAAAATATCAGAATGATGACTGAAGTTATCTAAAAAAAATAAAGGACTAATTTATATTATGTTGTAGTGAACGAGAACTCAGATGGAGAATATCAGTTTAATGTTTAATGTAAAATTACTCAGTGCTTTCGTAAAATATGGAAATCATACATTAAATACTTTATTATCACATCTTCTATCAGTTATCTCTGTCTCTGTATTTACATTCTTGTTCTCTTCAATTTGAACTAAATCTTCTGCTGATAGGCATTCCACTTCTGTTTGGTGCTACATACTACTTGTATCCGTCAACATAAGTAGCATACACCACAGTATGACTTAGGAATTGTTCACAGTAGTATAGAAGCATCCGTTTTGTATCTTCCTTTGATATTGACCATCTAAATAATCATTCCGATCTCCTTTGTTATACATCTTGTCAATTTACATCTAATCGCCATAAAGTGGTTTATCGACTTGAACTAACGGATATTTGTATCATTCTTTACTTTGATTTATGATCAAGCAAATTGTATAGTAAATAATGTGTAACATTCTCATCAAATTGCTATGCAATCTTATTGATTTATCATTCAAACAAAATCAATAGAGAAATTAGTCAATTAATCAATTAGTTGGTCAATTAGAAATAACACTGGAACATAACCATTGTTAATATTCATTTCAATGATCACATATATCTATCGTCACCATACAGCATTACAAAATTAAACTTTATAAGACAGAATTTGAAAAAGTTTAAATAATCAAATCAAATACATGATGGTTGTAGTATAGTACCTGTTTGTAAATGTTAGATTTTGTTGTATGTTGTGATTTGTTAATTAGATCGTGACACAATCGTCAGTTCGAGAATAGTAACTTATATCGACTGGATCAATAATGCATAAATGCGCCTAAACTTGTCTGTTGAATCGAGAATACAATCTCAGCTTTCATTCTATCAATTATATATTTCAGATATATAGGGATTATATATATACAACCAAATCAGATTGCATCGTACTATAAAATAGAAGAATATATATATATTAAAACACGAATTTCAGCGAAGGGATCTCTTTTCAACGAATTGATTGTCAAGCTGTACAATCGTATATATCTGAAATTTTTTTTGTTTTTTGTTAAAGTACTAATTCCGTAAGGAAATGTAAACACAATTAACCATGAGGTAATAAAAAAGGGTTATAATACTAGATTACGTAATACGAATGATAATAATAATAATAACAATAGATTTAGTGAATATAATAAGATGATTAAAATGTTTTTGTTATAATAATTAAAGGTCATAGAGGTGTAAAACGTAAATAAATAGGGTGATATGATGAGCATTTACGAATAAAACAGTGAGAATATAAGACATCAGTAAAGGGAGGGAATGCAGTAATAATAATAATAATAGGATAATCAAAATAATTAAGGCCAAGGTAACGATAAGATGTACTTCTTTTGTACTCATAGCTCTGGTTTAAGCTCTTGGATGGTAAGAGCTTCGTCTATTTTTAAGAATTGGATACGAAGAAATCTGGGTAGATTTGAACGAATCATATAAACAACTTTAAAATCAAATTGTGGATCTGTAGAATGGTTACAGTTGATTAGGTGTTCAAGTATAGAACTCCTAACTCCTTATAGAACCAAGCTGGGATATGTTCCCGTATCCGAGTTGAAAGCGAGCACTGGCTACGGCCAATGTACCTGCTGCACAAGAGCAGGTGAACTGGTCGATGCACATAGAGGCGACCAGACGCGGAAGCTTATCTTTTATGGATACAGAAAATAAGTTCCTACTAGTGTAGGTTATTCGCAGTTTAGCCGCATTAAATGTCCTTCTAATCGTTGTTGTTAGTCGAGTTTTGATTACGTCTGATGTTCGATCACCTTTAAATTCCAGACTTATTTAAAGGTTTTTCTTTGGAGCGGAACAGCTAGATTTCTTGTCACAGCTACTTCTATTCATATTCATGTTATTAAAATCTGACAACGATATAGTAAATATTCAATTTGCATAATGACCATCAATTGTCTCATAATGGCCTAGACTTCATTGTTCTTGTATTTTCATACAAATTGCATTGTGTTTTTCCATTCTTTATTGTTTGATCCTCTTGTCTCTCTACTGCAGACATTTCTGTTCACGACTAACATCATCTACTACTTATAGTCAATATAAGTAGCACACATCAGAATAACATCAGACAAAGTAAAATCCAAGCGTTATATATAACACACAATAATTTTAATCAATAAAATTTTTTTCATAAAACTTTATTTATTTACATTGAATCCATATAAAACTTCTTTTTCTTTCTTTCTTAAAAATAGCTCATTGTTCAATTGAAAGATAAAAGTACCCATCAAATTACATTGAATAAAATTTGTTGCAATAAAATTAATTTATTTTTAAAACCTACACAATAATAAATGACGAAGAAAAAAACTTTTTCTTAAATTGAATTGTACAGATTTGTTTGTTTGTTTTGTCTTGAATATGTCGACCATCTTCTTCTTCTTTTTTTTGTTTGTTCGTTTTGTGATTTCATTTTCTTTTTGTTTAAAAGATTATGCATTTGTTATTTCATATGGATCTTTATGAATTGAATATATGATGAACTATTCATCTTCATGGTTGTTTTTGATTTTTTTTTAGAAAAGGGAAAAGAAATCTATTTTATTGATTGTTCTTTTTTTTTAATTATCAGAATGAGGATTTGTAGAGATTGTAGTCATTTCAATGGTTGAATTTGTAAGTTGGTCTGGAAGCAATGGATGGTTATTTCATCCTCGTATAAGACTATCCAACAGTTTGTATCAATGACCTTACACGCGGGATTTGAACGAGTAGCACCGGTCTCGTGCAAGAACAATTAACCTTTATACCACTAAACCGGCATTTATGTCTAACTTCAGTCGATTCACAGCTATTCTTCCATTGAGATAGATAACTGTTTCGATAATGTAATAAGAAGACGAAGATTATCAGGACTGTGTGATATATTTGCGCAATACATATGAATGTTTTTAATTTCAAATTCAGATCTCAACAACTAAATTTAAATCTTGTGTCATTAATAGGCATGAACTCAACGAGAACCTGGATAGTTACAAGCCCCAAATGCCCTGGTACGGTCAAGAGTGGTGACGGTCCATTCTCCCTCTCGAAATTCTCTCACATGGCCACGCGTATGCGGCCTCTGTCAGAGAAGTCCTACTCACTGCCTTATCGCGGCATTACTATTTACAAAATTGAGAGGACGAAGAGCGAATGTTCGGCACTTTAACCGCGTTGGTGGACACGGAGGGTCCACCTAGGGGAGTTGGGAAAACCTGATTCCAAACCAATGGTGCATATGGGCTTCAGTATCCTGAAAGAACAAATGGCGTGTGAACCAATCGTTGGTCACCGGCTACCATGAGACTGCATCTCCTTACGACGGTTCACTGCTTTGTGGATCAGACCTTTAGGTCGAAGGCTCCGAGTGTGGCCCCTTAAGAAAACCATCTACTTGGATCTGGGCACCCGGGTAGTATCATAGCTCTCATACAAATCAAATAAGATTTGTGTGGCGCATATGTATCTGGTGCACATTCGTATCAATATTTATGTGTTCAAATAAATAGTTACACGTATCGTTAGTTAAGTGATATCGTTAACAATGACTACTGTATAAGCAAATGTCAGTTTTACAAGTAATTGATGCGTGTCATGATCTTAATTATAAACATTTTAGCCCTTTGAAGAAAGATATTCATCTCATGAGTGATGATCGAATATACTGTTAAACCTTTGCAGAAACTTCAACCAAGCTATCGTCAGCACTTACTTTCACACGTTCATCTAAATTCGTAAGTACATTATTCCACTTGCGATTGGCTTATTGAATACTTTGCGTTATACATTAAAACCAGTTAAGTTGCTAGAAGACCCGTTTCAATCTAATTTTCTGAAACCTCATTGGTTTATGGCACTTATTTCCTTAGTGACTGTTTCTGTCTATTATTAACGGCTTTTTAATTTTTACACTTACTCAGAACACTGATTTGTAGTCTTACTTAAAATCCAAACAAATTAAGACAACAGATAGGATCACATGAATCTAAATCCCTAACCCTCAGTACTAATAAGGATTCCATGATAGTCTATCGTTTTGTATCAACGTGAAAGGAAATTTCCGTATCGTATATTGCTGCTTCAGAACGAAACATCTCTTTTATTTACAAGATAAAAGTGTTAGAGACAGCTGAATGTGTTCATTAAAACAGATCGACCTCCTAGATACTTTTTGTCTGGAGATGCAAATTGATATCACATGTCAAACTCGCCAATCGGTATTCTAATTAGGACATTCCTACCCCAAGTTTACTATTACGTTTGTAGTCTACTGTTCTTAACTCGAACAATTCTACGTCCTGACTGGTACGATTAACCTTGGGGTATCATAATCCACGCTCCTATTGGTCTGCCTATCCTCAAGCCTTTCTTTATTCACACCCTTGAGTCCGAAGAGAAGTCCACAGCCAAGCTTGTCGTTACTACATTTCAACCACCCAGTTAAAATGGACAACTAGATAAAAAACATCAGCTTACATACACGACTTATCAGAATGCACAGCACACCAAATAAGAAATCATATCTTAAACACAACCATCCCATAAACGACAGCGAAGTAAACAGCACATAAATAACTAGCAGTTAATAGGGACTGTCAAGTGTGTGACAACAGCGAGCAAGTCCACTGAAAGCACACAATAAAGAGAATACAGAAATACTAGCACGAGGTCATTTAATTATACAATAGAAATAAAAATAATTATAATTGGAAGAATAGTCCCAAAAGTCCTGGCCTCTCCATTATACGTCCCTTGATAATGCCTCATAGTCAAAAAGGATAACGTTTATTTGTCAATCAAATCTATTTGATCAAAAAGATACAATGTCTTAAGAAATTTTCTTAGTTCTTTACTCAGTGTGTTACAGTCATACCACAAAAATATTTCATAAAATCTGATTTTAGAACAAACCAGTTTGTCATATTATTTAATGCGACAAAATCTAAATTAATTCAATTCCCAATTACACAATTTCATAATAATAATCCACAATATAGAAAATATAGATGAGATCATGAGTCAGTTGAACCTTAGTGGTCTAGTGGTTAAGCGCTCGCACTCGAAACTGATAGGTCTTTGATTTGAATCTCGAGAGGCGAGGTCGTGGATGCGTACTGCTGAGGAGTCCCACAAAAGGACAAAATGGCCATCCAGGTTTTCCCTACTGGTCTAGCTTCAATTGACTTATCATCTTAACTATTGAAATTACTATAATACCCACAAAAACCCATTCTGATATTAATTATATTACTTAAATGACCATCGATAAATTCGCATTGTATAAGTGTTTGCATTATAATTAACTGAAATTTTCTAATGCACTAATCTATACTATCATATCAGTGTTTTGAACTACTAACAGTATTTAATGTGAAGTTTTTCGACAGATTATGTTTTTAGTGTTTTTTTTTGGATAAAAGCCATAAAGATGATTAAATCTAATAAACTGTAAAAAAGTTTATCGGTGGTCATATATCAAGATTCAACTGATAGACTTTGATCATTGAAAAAAAAGATTTGGAGAAATACTGCTTAAACTTTGTACATATAAAAGTTTATAGTAATAGAACTATAGTGTTCTTTGTTTATGTGGTTAATCTGTCGGTCCTTCACGACTCCCTGGTTGAAGTCCTAAAGATAGTGCAACACAGTGGTTTTAGAATAGAAGCCAATGGCGATGCTGCTGTAACTTGATTTTACTTCATGAAAAAGACGTAACCTCCTTAGGTGGAAGAATTCTCTGTGGCTGTACTTTGCTATTTTAACTTACGCCTGTTACTCCTTGTGGAGGAGCATAGGCCAACCACCAGCATTCTCCATCCAACCCTGTCCTGATCAATACTTTCCAGCTCCTTCCAGTTGTTATTCATCCTTTACATATCTGATTCTATTTCACGACGTAATGTGTTCTTTGGCCTTCATCTTCTTCACTTACCTTCAGGATTCCAAGTTAGAGCTTGCCTCATGATGCAGTTTGATGATTTTCCTAATGTATGTTCTATCTACTTCCATCGTCTTTTACTAATTTCCTCTTCAACTAGAAGCTGGTTGGTTCTCTCCCACAGAAGGCTGTTGCTGATGGTATCCGGCCAATGGATGTTGAGTATCCTGCGTAGACAACCATTTATAAATACTTGTACCTTCTTGATGATGGTTGTAGTAGTTCACCGAGTTTCAGCTCCGTATAGTAGAACTGTCTTGACGTTCGTATTGAAGATTCTCACTTTGATATTGGTTGACAGTTGTTTTGAGTTCCATATGTTCTTCTACTGTAGGAATGCTGTCCTTGCTTTGCCGATCCTCGCCTTTACGTCTGTGTCTGAACCTTCTTGTTCATCGATGATGCTTCCCAGGTATGTGAAGGGTTCTACATCTTCCAGAGTTTCACCATCAAAAGTGATTGGATTGCTGTTCTCCGTATTGTATTTGAGGATCTTGCTATTTGAACTAGCCCTCTCATTATTGTTATTTCACTATCATACACTAATGTCTGTCCATTATTGTTCCCCTTTTTCCTATATACACCTTAGATTCTCTATCTCTTCACATTCTGATTATTATTGTGTGGTGCATACGTAACTGGTGCCCCTTTGTACAAATATTTATGTTTTCAAACAAATAATGCAATAAACCAACTCAGTCAGTCAGTAACAACGTAGAACTTCGTAAATAAATAAACCAACTGAATTAGTTAATTCAGTATACTTTAATTTCGAAGATAATTTAAAGGTTAACCTACTTGATAATAAATGTAATTCACCTTATTTTCTAGATTATTAATTTCGAGTAAACAGAGGTTATTTTGGCAAGGAATAGAACAATTTTCTGAAGGGAAAATAATCTTCAGAACGTTGTTGTTTTCTGTTACAATTAACTAATCACTCATGATCTAAATGAAATGTCTTTCTTGGAATCACACTATTAGTAACTATAGAATAAGAAAAACTAACTGTCTCTTTGTCTACCAGAGGACGAGTATACAGGGTAGCAGGTTGGTCATCATTAGTTGATTATAGATAGTTTCGAAGAATTACTTATGTAAGGTAAAATATCTTAGTAAGTAATGCTGTAATGATATAGTGTATTGCAAATCAAGTTTGAAATTTTGTTGGTGAGGACCTATCTTTTCATCACTGAGGTATGAGTTAACTAATCACAACATATCACAATGCATAATGCTAGCTGGATTACGAGTGGGTTGGAAAACAGCTTGAGGTATCGGAACCAACACATAGTGTTAGTATATGACTTCATTGACTACTGAACTTGATCCATGTTGCTAGCTGCAGACTTCTCATATGGGATCCGGGCGATAATAATAATAATTTCTGATTGAAAAACCCAGGTGATTTGGCTAGTAATTAGGTCGCACTATTACACCTACTTTTGACCTTCAGTTAAACTCCTCTTTGTACATTTTATTGCATCGATTCATTCCTTTTTTCCAACTAGTGTTGACTGCACTTAGTTCTTCTGATTATCATAAGAATTACTTTGACTTATTCATTTGGCTTCTTTAATTTAATCGTGTTGATTTATTATGTCAAAACTTACCAAATCACATTTGTGCAAAGTCTTAGGTCGTTTCTGTTCAACGCTTTTGGATAAAGTAAATATGACCTATTTAAAGGTTAATAAATGTCAAAACTACCCAAGATATGCTCTGTAGATATGAATGTGAAGTATATTTAAAATTGTATATGAATTGTTTCTACTTGGTAATATAAGCAGTCATCCATGGATGACCATGGATCCATGGCCATTTTTCAAGACAGGTCAGTTGGATGACTGATGTTAACTAGTTTCGTGCTAGTTGTTGTATCCAGTCTTGATTGATTTATTATCCAGAGTGATTAGGTTTCGAATTGTGTTCACATAATTATTATTACTCTTATTATTATCCTTATCTCCTCTTACCCCATTTCCAGTTTAGTCGACCTTTTACTTTTATATATAAATGCTCTTAACAAGTATATGTGTGATCAGATTGTTCGAAATGTATTGCGCAAATATATCACATAGTTCTGATAATCTTCGTCTTCTTATTACATTATCTGACTTTGATGTTGGCTTGTAGGTAGTCGTTTTGAGTTCCATATATTCTTCAACTGTAGGGATACGGCCCTTATTTGCCAATCCTTGTCATTATGTCTGCATCGGATCCTTCTTGTATAGTGATGAGTTCCATTCAGTTGATTGTTCAACGATGATCCGTAATATCGCGATTTTATCTGTGCACAACCGATCCTTACGGAATTCGGTCTGTTGATCCTAAAGCTAAACGTCCATTGAATTTTTCGATCTGCTCAGTAACACTGCTAGAAACTTTTCCCGGTACCGATTGTAGTGTAATGCCTCTATAGTTCTCATACTTGCTCAAATCTCCTTTCTTTGGTATCTTGATGAGATATCCGTCTTTCCACTCTGTCATCATATGTTCCTCCTCCCAAATCTTCCTGAATAGGACGTTGAGCATGTTTGCAGTTACTTGTATGTCTGACTTTATTGCTTCGGCTGGTATATTTTCAAGTCCTACTGCTTTCCCACTCTTGACTTGTCTAATGGCCTGACATCCTGATTTCTTCGATCGTTGGTGCAATGACATCCATAGGAAGGTTTGTAGGTGCTACTTCGATGTCCGATGGATTCAGTAGAACGGGTCAGTTCCTAAATCTCAGTGATTGTCTTGCCTTCTTTGTCCTGGAATGATCTCTCTCGTTTACTATACTTTCCTGCTAGCTTCTTCGTTGTGTCATACAGTTGTCTCATATTCCCTTCTCTTGAATTTTTTTCTACTGTCGTTGCTAGCTCTTCTACGTAATTCTGCCTGTCGGAAACGGAAAAAAGGAAGACCAGAGAATACATTGTTTGGAGAATTGAAGTATATTTGAAAGGGATGCATAGCAACTGGAAAGTATATCCCAGGACAGAGTTCGATGGAAAATGTTGGTGTGCAGCAGCCTATGCTCCTCCATGAGGGGTAACAGACGTAAGTAGTTATTTTAGTAAATATTTGATGTTAGCTTGTGAAACTAAAACTTTCTACCATGAACTCATGAGTTTTAATAAAAAATAAATGATATCTGTATGAAGTGTTTTATATTTATGTACTAGTTTTGAGAACTTTCTTTCATGAAACGTTTGTCAAAGCTGATTTCCATATCGAAAAAATCATCCAACAATGGGTGGTCATGCTATTTTTGCATTTAGAACTTATATCAATCAGTTAGCTGAAACGTAAGATCAGGCACACATCAAAAGAAAGATATGGTAGTAAATAATAAATTTGTGTATTACAATATCGAAGATTTCAGCAGTAATAAAGTTTATTTAATGATTTGTCATGTATGTATGTATTTCTAATGGATGAGTAGAAGTCTAGTAATTATAAACAAATGATCATAAAGAAAAATACGTAATCAAAATAGTTCATATGATAAGAGACAGATATCAACTGTTCCATTTTTGAACGCTTTAATCATATAAAAATTAAATAAAACTATGTTGAAACAAACATCCATCTCAGTGTAAAAGGATTTTATAACACCGGATCAAAACGTACGCCTAAACTTTCTACACCACATTCATCTGTACCACGACGTATTCGAAAGTAACCTTGTTCACCCCATTCAGCACCCCAACTATTTTTTACTTTCCAATATGGTTCACCGGATAACTTATCCACACCATAACCAACCAATAAAACAGCATGATTAGTCAATTCGAATGGATTGAAATTGTACTGGTCGTTCTAGAAGTAAAAAAATAAAATGTACCAACAGTCAAGGATTTGATGGTAAACAAGGGGTTATCACCTCTCATCTGCCCTCACCTTAGGATAATTCTTCTTGAGGAAACTAGATAAGCAGTAGTTGCAGCAACCTGAGAGTGTGATCTCAGAGCCCGAGGGACAGCTGTTTGAGGCTGGTCACACATGGCCTTTCTGTAAGCCAGTTTTTTTAGCTCCGAGCTTTAAAGCGATCTTATCTTCAAAGATGAAAATCTATGGGGTAAAGCGAGATGTAAAATTTCTAGGGCTAACCTTTTCTAGCCCTTTCCTTCCGTTATGAGAAGGTAGTATCGCTTCTGATCCCAATTGTCTGAGGGATACACCTTGCCCCCTAGTACAGCCAGGAGTACGAATTGGCCCTCGGACCATGAGTTTGCTGCTTTTCGTCTTGCTGTTCTCCGAGCGACCTGTCTGGTATGGTACAACTTAAAGGACTAATTGTTTCAGACAATATAGCTTGATCGGATCATTACGATAGCCAGACCCAATCACAACGTCAAGATAGCAACTACAATCATAAAGTAAGAGGAATCATTTTCTTCTAGATTTAACAGTCAAATGAACAAGTCTGTGTGCTCGGCTATGAACAGAATCTCCTCATCTGTATGAGGTCTAGTAATACCACTTACATAATAAAATTGAAGTGAATTGGAGTTCATCGAGTCACCGCCACCATAAATTATTTACTTGAATATTTAGAGAAATATTATCAATAAATTCAAAGCAATAACTAGTATTCCAAATTTGTGATTTAATCTGTAAACTACACAATTACCGGTGTTAAGCAACGATGAGAACTAAAGGAAAATTCTATTTGTGACCTAACTAATAGTTTTGAATGTAGTTGTAAAAAATTGTTCCAGACACTAAAACTACACTCCAACTTACTAAGGTCAAGATATAAAAATAATGTTGATATCCAGAAGAGATTTTATCAATAATTTAATCTTTACTGATTGGAGACAGACATTAAAATAACGAGTAGCAATCGGAAACAACTGGAAATGAGAACCCATGACAGAATTGGTTGTAGAATCTTGGTGAGCGGTCTATGCTCCTCCACAAGGAATAACAGGAGTAATTGAGAAAATTATATTATTATTCCAAATACTTTATCAACTGTATACTGTGAACTTCGAATGTTAGATGAACTGTAGAAGTGATTTACAAAACTAGGCATAACAGAACTAAAAGATGTGGAAATAAACTACTTCATTGACTTTCGACTTGAAAAATAACATGAAACTGTACTTAAGATTAGCTAAAGATGACTGATAATACGATAAGAAAATTCTTGGGATAGACAGGTTTCAGCTAACAGTGAAATTCAGTACGTGGTTTACGTTTTATTTGGGACTTCCCAGTTGAATATGTTTGGGTTCATTTGTTTGTGAATACATTGAGACTTGAACCTAGTATCTTTCACTCCAAAAACCAAAGGGTTATCATCCACTGAGCAGTTGAACTCAGGTAGTCAATATCCTGTTCAAGAAGACGAAACGAGCAATTTGGATCGCACTGTTAGCGAGAATCCACCAACTTGAAAAAACTTATAATCAAATAGCTACATCGTAGCAATCACATCAGAATGAATGTATGGCAACTAGGACGAACAAAAATTTAATCCTAAACATCAATAATCGAATAACTTAAATCTTTAAAAAGCCAAATAGTCGATCAGTAATACATGTAAAATAATACCAAACAATCGTCAAAATAAATGAAACAATACAAATGTTTTTATTTACATTAAATCAGTAATAAAGTGAGAGATTATTTAGAAAAGTTTCTAACAAAAGTAAAAAATAAAACAACACTAACTTGAACTGTTGTATGGTGGTAGATGCCTTCTCTATAAAATTGAAAATCATCATATACTTCAAAACCGATAGGGAATGGACCATTAGAAACAAGTTCTAACTGCATCAATTTTTCATTAGTAGCGCCATAATAACCACCGATATAACTATAATCTGTCGTATAGTAACGTGTGCAGTTTTTTGATACATTACACTTTTTAGTATCTTTACCAGTATATGGATCACAACGTTCTGAGACAAAACCAAAATCTTCTCCATATTTTCCAGCAATTAAGAAAGGAAAACCTCCATTACATCCTAAATATTAATAAAAATCAATGAATGAAACCGTTAATATAAACAAGCATTTATCACTAGAATAATGTGTTTGAAGGATTGATTAAACATATATATATGTTGGGATTAAAAAGAAAAATTACATTCTTTAACTCATTGTGATCTTTGTACTAAATTAATATGGTCTATGATCAGCATGAAATGCAGCAAGTGATTCGTTATAACTATAAGAATTTGTCATTTATGTGACTTCATCCTAATTATTAATCAACATGTAAATGAATATGAATTTTCGACTAGCGTTGTCATCATGTTTTGGGTTTAATAAATCTCCCACTTGTGCCAGTCTTTGTGTTCTTACTTTCGTGTCGTGGGAATTGAAGTGGTTCCTCGTTTTACAAATATAAGTGATAAGTGATTCCGACATGACTATTAGCGACGATCAAATATAACAACTGGCGACGCAGTCATAACAGTCGACCATCAGTCATAACAATATGAGTTAAACGTCAGTTCGATTTTAGACTTACTTACGCCTGTTACTCCTTGTGGAGGAGCATAGGCCGCTCACCAGCATTTGCCATACAACCCTGTCCTGGGCAATCCTTTCCAACTCCTTCCAGTTGTTATCCATCTTTTTCATATCTGCTTCTATTTCCCGACGTAATGTGTTCCCTGGACTCCCTCTTTACGATTCCAAGTTAGGACCCACCTCATGATGTAGTTTGATGATTTGTGTAATGTATGTCCTATCCATTTCTATCGTCTTATCCTAGTTTCTTCTTAAGATAAAAGCTGGTATTTTCTCTCCCACAGAAGGCTGTTGCTGATGGTATCCGACCAATGGATGTTGAGTATCTTGCGTAGACAACTATTTATAAATACTTGTACCTTCTTGATGATGGTTGTAGTAGTTCCGCAAGTTTCGGCTCCGCACAGTAGAACTGTCTTGACGTTCGTACTGAAGATTCTGACTTTGATAGTAATTGACAGTTGCTTTGAGTTCGATTTTAGACTAGTTAGATGCATATCTGCTTCATAATGAGTGATAAACGTGAATTGGACGAATAGTGTTCTGATATGAAACATCAGCTACAGTAGAATTATGCTACATGTCTGATGAAATATTAGGATCGATTTGGAAAGCTCGGAGAGCTTCGGAGAGCTGCATTACTTTTAATATACGTGAGATGTTTGTCTCCCAGAAAAAGTACGAGTTTACTACTAAACAATTCCCTTTGTTCTACTTTATAGGTGTGAAACATGGCCATTAATTACAAAGGATACTCGCAGGTTACTTGTATTTGATCATAGATATATTTGAAGCATCGCCTCAGATGTAGGATAAATATGGTAGTTCGATTAATGAGGTAGTGATTTCATCAAATGAGGTGATCGAGATATGTATTAAGTATCCCCAAACACCGCCTACCTGGACGGACGATATTGTCTGGTGTGGTCTATGATTTAAACAAAACCAGTGAGTGAAAACTATGGGTAACACCACACAGTTATTACAATAGCGAGAACTCACACATATATTTTATCTTTCTTCAAATCCTGAATATTTGACTGTTCTGCATTTGATCTGATTTCATACTCAGATTATTTCTAATATCCTTAGATTTCGCTTGATTTTCGTTTTATGCGTCCTCGTGGAGTGTGACAAACAGCACCAATCAACTTTGAGTGAGATTGTATGTTATGTATCTCTGTTTAATTAATACGATGGGCATGAGATAAGCCTAACAGTCAAATCTTATTTTATTGGCGAGTGAGTAGCCACCAATCGCTCATAATGCTTAATCATATTTAGTTTTATATCCAATATTTTGTATTTAGGGATATCATTTTACCGGAGAAAAATGTCTATTCCGCTGGATAGTAGTTTTGCCGCTGATCTCATCCAATTCCACAGCCTATGCTAATAATTTGTTCTTGTGGAGAGTTTTCACTCCACCACATCGTATCAAAATGTATCATTGATTAATCGACACTTTTATTCACAACACTATCGCCTACAGGTTTATGATCTGAAAAACTGTTGTAACATACTGTGATAGTGAACAAAATGTTCGATTCTGAAAAAGATAGTTGAGAAAACAACTTGATTTGAGTAATCAAGAGAAAAGGAAAACGAAGTTTTCTTGTGATAACTATCAAATACTAATACCCGGTTTTTTGGATTAGGTTTATACTGTATATTGTCATAGGGTGTATAGAAAAGGCAGAACAGTTTTCATGGCATCCTAGAAGTGTTGCGTGAGCGACCAATACTTTGGGCTAATAGGCGAATTTAGAAGAATTTATACAAAGAACCACTACTCTTTACATCATTCAGAAAGACTAATAAGTATATGTATGAACAGTAAACAACCATAAAATTCAACATATTACGAACAAGTACATCAAATAACAGGTAATTAAAATACCTTCAGAGTAGGGGCTACAATCAACCACAGCTTGAGGAGACAAGATAGGTTGCTCCGAAAAATTACTAACCAAACGAATACGAGCTTCGAGTGCAGCAGCAGAGGCGAACGCATAACAACTTCCACATACACCTTGGTTACGAATCGGTGTAACAGGACTTCTAGAACCGTCTGGTGGACTGGTCCAGTCAAATTCCAAAGGAAGATTTTTAGTTAATGAAATTAGTTCTTTTGATGGAGTTTTCCTATTAAGCACTGAAGGTCTGAAAAAGGGAGAAGGTTTATGTGATGGTAGGATAAGGGTACTTCCCAATTAAAAATATTTAGATTTTTAAGATATCAAATGACATACAGAATAAACCAGTTTGCGTTTTTTTTATAGCAAGAATGGAGTTCCTTAGATTCCATACAAGTTAAAGAATTAGTGAATACATATATATGTAGATGGTACGTTGTTGACAAGTTCTGACAAACACGAAGCCCTAGTCCACTTTCCTGTAGACCATGTAGTACAGTCAGACAAGTGAACTGATTTTTTTATTCCTGCTAAAGTACTGAAGAGAAATTTTCTAGATCTGCCCTCTGTTAAGTAACGTGAAATTGCACTCGCCTTATGGACAGACAAATCTTACACTGTTCTGTGGAATTAATAATAACAGAAATTTTAAGTTTTGAAGGATTACAATAAACAACCACGAAATGAAGAACAACAAAACCAAATCGTGGTATCAGTTCATGAAGTCATTGGCTGTTGGTCCTAGATACGTTGGTAAACTCAGACTAAATGGTTGGGGTCAGCGTGATAACTACGACTGGTGGTTCGATACAGTCAGTCAGTAACAACGTAGAACTTCGTACGTACGTACATCAGTTCGAGTTGCCATACCACATTAGCACAGAGATGCAGTTGTCGATTCAAATCCCGTAGTGGTAGAGGTAGTAAGAGTATAAGCAGTAATCGGAAACATTAGGGTTTTAAGATGTTATTCAAAGAGTATAATGCAGTGAAATAAATTTGAAAAGAGGAAAAAAGGGATATGAAGAACTCAGAAACTATAATTTGGGAGAATACAACGTTCCCAAAGTTTAGTCTCTCTATTATTGCTATTCCATAATTGTGATCTTTTTGCCATTTTCATTCGGTCTTACTGATGAAATATAGAGAATTTGTCCAACGGAAACTTGAGCCGGGCCCCCATGTTTGTATCTGTTTGATTGATTCGTCAAGAGAACAGTCACTGAAACATTCGAAATAGTTACTTTTGAGAGGTGACTTCCACCTGTTCTAATCACATTAAAAAATTAAATTACTGAGATATCATCTATGTATCATTTTAATTTGGTTAAAATTAGAAAGCTAAGACTTGATTATAATTTTTATAGAAATCAGTATAAATCGGTGACCAAATGTCTTGAACGATATAGAACGAAAAAAGTAAGTTTAAAGCAATAAAAGTAATGAAGTCAGTCCTTTGATATTCTTAAATGAATTTTATTGTGGCGGGCAACGAACCAGCATTTTATACTCTTCAGTTGCTTATTGTATCTAATTATTTGTATATATATTATTTTATCAGACAAAAATCTTATTCTGTTGAAAAGCTATATTATCCTCTAATAAATCCATCCAGGAGTTTCGATCAGTTGTTTTATGGAAAATAATAGGAAACATTAAAATTCTCAACAACTTTCAATAAAACAAAAGTTCCCATTAGTAAGTGAAAGAAAATTCATTATCACTGGATTTTTAGTTTCTAAACAATAACGATAGGTTTCCGAACTTTCAATGCATCTGAAAATAACTAATGTTTAGTAACAATCAATTTATAAATATTGATCGTTGTAACTGATTAGCTTAAATGTACTTTTAAGCCCATTGGAAAAATTATCAACAAAGCTTTGTTACGAAACTGAACTTCATACTCTAGTTAGTGGAGTAAAAAAATAGAATAGTAGTCTTGTTTACACTACTGACGATAGAGTTATAAAATATCATCTTAGTAAACAAACGTATCAGTTTATGGTATAAAATGTTTACATGTTGTTTCTCACAACAAAATACAAAGTCTACTGTATAAAAAATAAATAAAGTTCTACCTTGTAACCATAGACTTTACACCACCAGCTCGATTTCTAAGTTCATCTATTGTATACTTTGATAATTCTGGATAAATTTCTGCTCGCCAAGATTTTTGATGTTCATTTATTTTGTCGACAAAAGAGGGGTTAATGCGGTAGAGATTTCGACCAAAACTTTTCGAACCAAATAATTTATTAGTCTGAAACCTGAAGTAGTATGGATATACATTATAATCAAAACAATAGATAAATAAAAGTATTTGAAACCAAGAGTCAGTCAGTCAAGTCCATATTTTCATAAATCTGCTTCAAAGTTTACATACTAATTACCATGAAAAACGTTTTCACGGTTTGTTGTTGTGTACGTGAAAAAAAGGTATAAAAACGACAAAATGCTGTCTTTTTAGCTTTCTAGACAATAAAAAGCTCTTTGATGCAGCAACTTTACCACCACATATAACTCCTAATTTTCTCACAAGACATTTGTAAGGAAAAAGTGGTCTTGTTACAAACTGTTTCATAATTCTTATCTCTAGTTAATGGTTCCAGAGTATAAGTGAATATGTACTAGGGAATTGAACCAATACATTAGTGTGTAAGAGCCAATTTGATTACCTATCAACAGTATTAACATGACCAACATATTTAAGAAACAAAGCCATATAAACCTATTTTTGAATGTCACTGTTCGGCACTCACCACTTAGAAATCGTAAGGATATGTTCTGAATTTTTATCAATTTTTATAGAAAGCCCCCGAAACAGCTTTTCTTTTGCGGATTGTTACTATCAACGACTGAGGTTGCTAGGCTAAACAGTATTCCTCTACATTTGAAGCCGTCTAACTAGGAATACACGCAAGGGTATAGTTTGATCATATAGTCACTGATGTGTTCGCTGAACTGGAGTACCCCAAGGTTACTTAGGTATTTTTCTCCTTGATTTACAATATGAGCTTGAGTAATTGAATCACTAACTATTAATAATTCAAACAAAGTTTCCCTTTTTTCAGTAGAACCCATTTTTTGTTGAAACTGCAAATGTTCAGAGTATAAGTCAGCACTATAAACAAACAACAGCCCATCACACAACGCTTTTGTGACTTTTGTTTCGAAGTTTTGGCTGGATACATCTTACATTTTAGCCTCATCGTTTCATGGAGCAAAGCGTAGGGGGATGCGGTTTTAGAACTATTCTTAACTTCCCATCCCGCCAACTAAAGCTCGTGAAGAGCAGACTAGAGAAAACCAGGCTGGTTTTCGACCTGGACGTGGTTGTATAGACCAGATATTCACACTACGTCAGGTTCTAGAACACAGACACACGTTTAGACGCCACACAATGGTAGTATTTCTCGACCTTAAAGCAGCATTCAACCCTGTCGATCGTAAGGTTCTATGGCAGTGTTTGTCACTGAAAGGAGCACCAAAGAAGTACATAAACCTTATAAAGGCTCTCTACTCGAACACAACTGGTCGAGTGAGAGCTTATGGCGAACTGTTATCAGAATTGATTACCTCAAGTGGTGTTCGTCAAGGCTGTCCACTCTCTCCATTCTTGTTTAACTTTGTCGTTGACGTACTTTTAGAGATAACACTCTCCTCATTTAAATTTCCAGGGGTTGAACTTCTACCACGAGGTTCACTTGTTGACTTAGAGTATGCTGATGACATAGTTCTATTTGGTGAAGACGCTGACAAAATGCAGAGTCTTCTGACCATTCTAAGCAACAGTGCAAGCATGTTCGGTATGAGATTCTCCCCCTCAAAATGCAAAATGTTGCTTCAGAATTGGGTTGCATCGACACTTGAACTAATGATAGGGAGTGAAGTAGTTGGGCGTGTCGACCGCGTCACTTATCTTGGAAGTCTCATCAGCCCTTATGGTCTGGTGTGTGACGAAATCTCAGCACGGATACAGAAGGCTCGACTAGCTTTTACCAACTTGCGTCATTTATGGCGTAGGCGGGATATCCCCCTATCAACCAAAAGACGGGTTTACTGCGCAGCAGTTCGTTCCGTCCTACTTTATGGCAGTGAAACATGGCCGGTAAGAGTAGAGGATATTCGTAGGTTACTAGTATTTGATCATAGGTGTCTTCGAAACATTGCTCGTATATCATGGGACCATTGAGTAAGTAACACAGTTGTTAGGAAACGGGTACTAGGTAAGGATGGCAAATCAATTGATGAAGTAGTGAAACTTCATCAGTTGAGGTGGCTGGGACATGTGTTACGTATGCCAAACCACCGACTGCCTCGACGTGTGATGTTTTGTTGTATAGTAGGTTGGAAGAAAGCTAGGGGCGGCCAAACCAAAACATGGCACAAGTCCGTGAAGTCACTGACTGACTAGTGGAATGAGTCATGTTGGTAGGTGTAGACTACCTGGTTGAGGACCGCGAGATAATAGCAACCGATGGTTAGTGACCCTGAATGACATGGCTCAAAATCGTTTGCAATGGCGCAGGTGCATCCACTCTTTGTGTTCTCCCAAATTCTAATCTTCTGAATTCTTCATGTCCGTTTTTTCCTCTTTCCAAGTTTATTTCACTGTATTATACTTCTTGAATAACATCTTCAAACCCTAATCTTTCCGACTCCTACTTATACTTCTACTACCTCTACCACTATAAGATTTGAATCGACAACTGCATCTCTGTGCTAATGTGGTATGGCAACTCGAACTGATGTACGTACGTACGAAGTTCTACGTTGTTACTGACTGACTGACTAACTTCCCATCCCATCTTTAGGAATTTAACTGCTGGAGATAACGGTTACTCGTAGAGAAAATAGTGATTGACATGACCCAGTAGAGTTGACAGTACGACTTAAACAGGACGGTCGAAACTACACAGCTTAATTGAAAAAGTAGAAACTGAAGGGAAAAAAATATTTTAGTATGTCTCAATTAGACCGTGACCGTAAGTAGATCAAACTAAAACATTAGTTTGATCTACTTACGATCAAACTAAAACTAAAACATGATATTAAAGTCTAGGGGATTATCGATTTGAAATATGGTTGGAACACTGCTCAGTATTTTCAGCATATTGTGTCATTCCGTGTCATGCATCAGCTTACAGACTTTAGGAATCTTATTATTTGGAATTTATTTTTATCGTTTAATTAAAATGTGTTACAACTACTCGATTGGAAGAACACTGTTTTCAAAACGAAAGAACTTAAAACAATCAGGTGAATGGGCAATTGTGACTGGTGCCACTGATGGAATAGCCAAACCATACGCGGAGGAATTAGCTAAAGATGGTTTAAATACTATGTTAATAAGCAGAAATTCGGAAAAATTAAAAAGTGTCGCCAACGAAATTGAATCGTCTTATCATGTGAAAACGCGTATTGTTGTTGCGGATTTCACACAAAATAATATTTATGAATCAATTGAAAATGAAATATCTAAATTATCATCAATTGCTTGCCTTGTTATAATGTTGGCATGAGTTATCCATATTTCGATTATACAAATGATAAATTTATGAATATACATTTTATACAAAATTTAATTGCTTGTAATACACAATCCATAGCAATTATGACATATCGTTTTACCGATCTTATTAAAACAACAAATGAATAATTCAGCTATCATAAATATTGGTTCAATGTTAGGTTATTTACCATCACCATTTAATTCATTATATGGTTCCACCAAATCATTTATACATCATTTTTCTAAATCTATTCAAGCTGAATTGAATCTATCTAATAATAATAATCATAATAAGATAATGATTCAAACTGTTTATCCATTATTTGTTGCCACATCGATGTCACGTACAAGTAGAACATCATTGTTTATACCATCTAAAGATTATGTGAATAGTGCATTGAATATGTTAAGTGTAGAAGAATTTACAACTGGTTATTTTCCACATGCATTACAATGTTATATATTAACTTCAATACCTATATCATGGGTTTATAATAAATATAAACAAATTGCTGATAAAGCACGTAGAAAATATCAATAAGCATTATAATCTCTATTGACCTGCTTTGATTTGGGCACCCGGGCAGTATCACAGCCCTCACACATATCAAATGAGATTTGTGTGGCGCATATGTATTTGGTGCCTCCTTGTACCAATATCTATGTGTTAAAATAAATAAATAATAAAGCTAAAACATACAGGTATTAGCTAAACTGTTGTTAAACATGCTTGAAGTCAAAACTATTGTGCATCGTGAATGTATTTATTTATTTTATTTAAACACATAAACATTGGTACAAGGAGGCAGCAAACAGATATGCGCTACATAAGTCATTCGATTCATGTGAGGGCAGGATACTGCCCGAGTGCCCAAACCGAAGCAGGCGGTTCCCTTAAGGGGCCACACCCGAAGCCTTTGACCTAGAGGTCTGACCTAAAAGACAATGGAGCAACGTAAGGAAATGAAGCCCCATGGTAGTCGGTGATCAACGATTGATTCATACGCCATTGGTTTCCTTAGGACTCTGAAGCCCATGTGCACCATAGATTTGGAGCCAGGGTTTTCCAATCCCCCAGGTGGATCCTCCATACCCACCAACCCGGTTTAGACGCCGGACACTCACTTGTCGTCCTCTCGTTTTCGTAAACGCCACCACGAGAAACCAGTGAGTAGGACTTTCCTAACAGTGGCTATATAGGTGTGGCCACGTGAGAGAGATTCGAGACGGAGAGCGGACTGTCCCCACCCTCGGCCGTCCCAGGGCATTTGGGGGCTACATTGGTTATAACTAACTAACTACGTCATGTTGCTGATCGTTTATTTTTTGATTTTATTAAAAATACGTCTAACCATTATAATTAAGTTATCGTATGGTTATTAATAATTGTTTTTTTTAAGTCTCGATTATCTTTATTTATTTGCGTTTATTGTCAATCTTGTCAAGCTCTTCCAGTAACGGCAGTAAATTGTTCACTGGCATTTGTCCTTTAATAGGTTGGGGGATTAAAGCCAAATTTATGAAATCATCGAGAGATTAATTCTCTACTTAAAATTTAGCAAACGATATTTTTTGTAAACAGACCATGGTCAATACGAAAACCACCATTACGAAAAGTAACGTTTAACTGTTAAATAAGAAAAATTATTTGGGAACAGCCTACTTATCATTCGCTCCAATCTTTTCGGCTACAAAACACTTCCACTGTCGAATTAAAGTATCATGTGTCCACATTGGCATAGATTTATGGCAATTAAATTCTCCAGTTGATTTGTAAGCGAATATAACTAGCCATTTGCGATGATTTATTGTTACTTCAAACCCCTAAACAAAATTCATAAAATTCACTTCTGAGCATACTTGATTATAGATTAGAGTCCAATGTCCTCGGTTTCCAGATGCATCAATAGCAATATCCGGGTATAAGAGACTGATAACGACAGACTGTTTCGAATTCACTAAAAGGAATTGGAAAAGCTATGAAAACGTGACTTACAGTTTCAGGACATTTAGATTTATAATCACCGATATGAAACATCCATCGACCATGTGCATCTTCATAAGTACAGTTAGCAGGAGTATCAGCACTTGTAAACCGCAAACATGCCACTATTATTAAAGTGCAGTGGAACATCCAACTCATTTTAAAGAATCTGTTGCAGTAAGGTACACCGATTACAGTATATTTATTATGTATTTAGGTAAATTTTACGAAGGGTCAATTCACATAAAGAGCAGAAACAAAACACCGCAGATACTTCATAGAACTTTGCTTTAAAACGGGACAAACACCTGTATATTATAGTATAGACCAAAGGTATGCTAGTTTATTTATTAAATGTATTGTTTAGTGAACAGATACTGTATAGCCACTTAATGCTTACAGTTATCCAAGTTTGAGACTATAAACCTGAGGTCCCAATATTCATTTGCAAAAGCAAAAGATATGGAATCCTCTTTTAGAAGATACATTTACGGTACCTTCAGTTGGCTAGTCCAAAAGAAGACACAACATTGACTTTAGATGTAATGGTACTGATGGAGACTATGTGTTTTCCTATACCACTTTAATTAACTAATGTTTTATTATTCCAGACTTATCAAGGAAGAAAAATGAGCTAAACTTCTTTGTGATAAACCGACATCTTTTAAAACAGAGATCCCACATAACTAACATCTTACTATCCTTGCTCAGTTAAGTTTGAACTGAGAGGGGAAGTAAAGTATAAGGACGACCTTAAACTACTTTCTAGCCAATGAAAAAAGTCCATAGCAAAGAAACGATTTATGATAACAAAGCAATATAACAATAGTTGATAAAATTTTAATACAGATAATGAATCTTACTGTATGACTTATTGACGCTTTTAGCCCGTCAAACTGAATGCAAGAATGAACTTTGAACAATAATCTGATTGGTGCATCCATATATGTTACTTTTGCTAAACTGAGTATTGTATACTTACTTTAAAAAAGTTTTGTGATAATAAGATACATACATCAACCTCGAAAAAATGTGTAGGGGGCGAACGCTATAACCACACAGGAGTGTGGTGCAACGGACTGGTTAGTAAATACTAGCTCATCACTGAAGTCATGGTCCACATTTAAAGGTACGTTTAGCTCAGCTAAGTGCCCGCCTATACTACACTTAGTATCACGTAACCTAATAACTATCCATCATGGATAACTAAACAGGCCAAGAGATTTCTTAGACATAAGTTGAATCATTTGAGTGTTTATATATACAGTTTCTGAACAGCATAAATCCATTTCTTGTCACCTTAAGATCCTTGTGCGACCGAACCACAGATACAGCACTTCCCCTATGCTGTGTCTATTTATCCTTGCATCTCCAAAATGCATGAAGACACATTCGTCCGCACTGATAGGCATCAGTCATCTTTTAGACCAGCTAATCAGAAAATTTAAGTCCACTGAAGTCCACATGCATCTGTTTCTCCTGTTTGTTTTTTTTCTCTCCAAATAGTGATCCATAATCTTTAAACCACGGCCCATTGCCGCGAAGTCTCAGTTAAGGGTTTCAGAACCCTATGGGTTTTAAGACGGATATTTATCAATTTATATTCTAATATGTCTATTACAGTATTCGCAACTTTAGTGAGATTCAAACTTAAAATGTGTTCAGGATGTGCGTCTTTATTTAAACGGTGATTCGGACATCTCGGGAGAAGTACAGAGGGCAACTACCCGTGCCATTCCAGAACTCCGGGTAATCATATAAAAAGTGGTTTCAGAAGCTAGACCTCTTTGCTCTGTCCTATCGCATATTAGGATACTAATGACTTCGGACTCGATACATCTTCTCTTTTTCCTATTTTCAGATCAGGACAACTCGGGACATACCAGGCAGGTACAAAAACCAAGAACGAACAAAGTACTCGTGGCATACAGGTTTTTACACTGAGTCATCAATTCTTGGGACCTGTTACCCTAAGAAGTAGTGTCCGCTCCTTTAATCCTCAGGTTGAGGAGAAAATTAGGTACTCAGAAGCTCACTATAAAAGGGCTAACATAGGCTGTAAGCATTCTGACCTCAATACACGAATCTGATTTTGCGATAATTCAACATAGTAAGTCGGTAGATCAAACTCATGGTGATTGCCGTCACGGGAATAAAATGTGGTTGGAGTCTTCATCCAAGATAATCCAGTAATTAAGAACGATGAATCATGATGTGTAACAAAGTGGAATGGTTTCAAACAATGAGAGGAAGGTTAAAGTTAGAATAAGCAATGCTCTTTATTAGAATCGAAAATACATCAATAGAGAGTAGTGTGTTCAGAAACGCTGATAGCTATATATTTTGTTGTCTGTTATTTTACCACTATTATTATTCTCATTTTTCCATGTCAGCCTTTTGGGCCATAATTAACAATTCTGAGTTAGCATGTTGTGGAATATCTTAGTAGGATTGTGAATCTAAAACACAAATGGAAACATGAATCTCAGTAGCCAGTGTAGAACAACCTCGGTATCACTTATTGGTTGCTTCGTTCTCAATCACGAAGTCTTAAGTCGAACAAGATGTTCTTCCTCACAAAATTAGGTAGGTTAAGGTTATCGCTCTCACCATCAATGCTTGCTGTTCGCTAACATCACCACCGTCCTTTCGTGATGTTATGCTTTTTAGAGGTTACTTTTAGATAAAATATTATATTCCACACGACGCTCTATGTTTCACATCCTCATGGAAAACACTATTTCTATAAGTTCCATTTTAGTACCTTATCAGGCGGTTATAAATTATGGACTGTGGGTAGGGGATCGATATAATGCTTTAAGTGACTATACTATACATTTCGGGCTTTCAAACAAAGTGTAAACATTAAGAATGGCATAACGCAGGACAAGCGTTTGCCGCAGTAGATGAAGAAACGTGGGAATATGATCATTAGAGATAAAACATTGGGTGATGGGATGAAATTAATGGTAAGTCAACAAAGTGTACGCGAAAGCAGTAAACCGATAAAAAATTACCAAGGAGGAACTCGCATTAATTTGGTGTTTATGGTGTGTTGTACAATCTGAACTGTGGGTCCAGGACCACTGGTAGAAAATATGAAATTGTCAGTTCATCTGCAAACTGTTTGTTATAGTAGGTAGGATCCATTGTGGTCCAATATAGCTGATCAGTATCGATAGATCAAGTGAATTATCTGTCCACGTTATGCGAAGATTAAGGAGGAACATGTAGCCATGGAGGCGTATCTAATACAACTGTAAAGAAGAAAAGAAAGGGAAACTAAACTTAGAGTTTGATATGGTTTAACATATAGAGGGTCTGTTATATCTGATTAGGTCGTACATGTCTTCGTATGTGCCAGCAGACCAGTGCAAGAAAAGACCTGATCAAGAAGTCTTAAAAATGTATGCCACCCATTTGCCATGTGTATTTCGGAGGGAAGACTGATTTATATTGGTGCACATTTGATAAGGAAGAAGTCTTACTTATTTGTCATGCTATATTTTTCAAAGTTCACCATCTATAGTTTGCCTTTAAGGTCGTATATATGTGAGCCTGAGGTAAGAACTACGTTACTAGTGGATTAAGAAAGATTTCGGGGGCAACCGAGGAAGACAATCGAATTAGACCGTAATCTTCTTTTGCAGACAGATTCAAGTCCTAGTGTGTGAAATCAAAAGTGCTAGTCAAAGAACAAATCATTTTTAACCATTTTGTGAGTGAAGTCCCATTGTATTCCTCTCACCTTCAGGATATCATACTCCTATCATTCAGTATGAAAAGTCTAGAAAAGATGTATCAAATTATGAATATCTCTCAAAATTCGACTTTCGTGAGTGAGATATAATCGATAGAGAAGATAATAAGATGACACCAGTATTTTGCGTGTTGCCTAAGAAATGGTTGAGAAATAGCTAGTTTGCCTGAAAATTGTTATGACTTTCAACATTTGCGCTATCCTGTATTTTATGTCCGACACACGAAGCATGAATTTTGACCTACTGGTTGTCTTAGGAAAAATTGGTGATATTCGCCCTGAAGAAAATTAAATAATACTATTGCAAGCTGATTGAATAAACTGCTCGTTTTATTAAATGTTGGGCAGTGGTATGCAGATATTGTTAAGGGTGTACTGGATGTGTAGTCGGATCGGTGACAGTGTTTGTAGAAGGGAAATTTGAAAGAAGGTGTGTGGTTATTAAGTGAGATAGTGACTATCGATTAACCGTTTAATTTCGAGTGGGTTATAACAGGTGAAAGCTACCTGTCATTGTCAGGCGTTCATGCCTGTATAAAACCTCCATTGAGGAAAATCAACAAAAGTTGTGTGTCAACTAATAAGAGTCCTTCAAAATCTATCGTTCAAAAGCAAAATATAACCGTTATTCAGGGATAAAAAAATCATGTAATAACTTGGGACCAAAAGTCATATCGAACCTACATACAATTGAAATAAATAGACAAAACATGAGATGTTGAAGATCGACCATAACAATTCAAGATTGTGTGTGACAGAAAAGGCTGAAAAATTCAAATACATTGTGATGGTATTAGTTCCTAACCGCATGATTCTCTAAGTTGAACATATAGTTACTGGGACGGTCGACATTCAACATGTAACACCTGGGGTAGGTCAAGAATGGTGAACGCGGAAAGAATCATTCGAAATGGCGTAGTTTGGCCATGTAGGCGTGGTAACTCTACGTAATTTATTGTCTTTTGCATTGAATATATTGCCCACTATCCAGCCCAAGTGTATTCTTCAGAAGTGTTATTATATATCTGTATATTTTACATATGTTCCCCCATAACAATTAGTGCTTGACATTTGCCAAGTGTATATGTTGGGTACGATAAAGAGTAGTACGTCTGCGCTGTAACAGGACATATCAACTGTTCGGACTTACGTGAAAGTACTTGATTTGACTTTTCTAAACAAAATATTTTTTTCATTTTCAGTTTTCCGATTTCCTATGGTAATTTTTTATAAGTTCTGTACAGAAATCGCATGTGTCAACCAGGTATGATGCTAGGCGTAATAATCTTGCCAACTGTCAAGGTACCAATCAAGCAATATATAGATCTCTTCAACCACACTATAATGACATTGATATTATGTGACCTAGGTATTATTGGCTTAATTTGTTTGAACGTACCGTGGGGAATAAATTTTTCCGTAGACGAGCGGATATAACATGTCTTGAACGATAATATTTCAGCCTGATTGAAAACCAAACGCTATAAGTCAGAATATCAGACGATTTGATTCATTTTCGTAACGGTTGTTTGAATCTTCTCATTGATATTTAGGACTGAATTAATCAGTCACTTATCGACATATGTGTGGACTGCCTCAATACTGCCTTAAGTCACAAACACTATAAGGAGAGATTGTGTTGGCTAACAGTAAAGCCCAGGGTGCGCGTTTCGCCCTATTTTTAACTCATCAGGTGGATGTGCCTGCGTCCCAGGGTTGATGTTCAATCCAGAACTCTGAAGATGATCGATCGCAGTGGCAAACACCACTGAAAATTTTCAAACAGCCGAAACAAAAAATAAATTAAATAAGAAAAAGAGAATTCAGCGAAGAAAATTTTCTTTTCGACGAAATCATTTACTTAAGCTGTACATTCGTATATATAGTTATATGGAAAATGTATGTCTATAGAAGGATAGAAAGGGTTGTATCACAAAAAAAAATGGATTCGACAATAAATAACAAATGAGGCTAACGTACTAATCAAGGGGTAAGGAAGAACAAAATTTAAGGGTCAGATAATAGTCCAATTGACAGATTGACAG